GAGCGTAGAGGTGGTGAGGGAGGGAAGGAGACGGGTGCAGGAGTTGTGGGCAAGGCGAAGGCAGCAGGGCCTGCTCCTGCGCGGCCGCCTCCCAAAGCTGCTGCAGCACAACCTGCTGACTCCGCTAAGCCTGCAGCACCAACAGCAGCGCCTGCAGGAGCAGGTGCAGCAGCAGGTGCAGCAGCAAGTGCAAAATCAAATACAGTTGGCGCGGAGGTTGTGCGTAGAGTTTTGTCTAAGCGGGTGGCTGATGATGTTGAAAGTGCAGTTTGGAATGGAGGCGAAGTAAGGTTTGCAAAGCGTGTGGGTAAGTCGGAGAGTGCTGCGCTTCCGTCCGCTGTATCTGCTGCTAGTCGTAGACTGTGCTGTTTGGGGGGAGGTTTGATACGCCCAGCAGCAATATGCGAAAGACAATTACTGTTTTGCATTTGCGCACCGTCTAGCTATTCGTGTTTGATGATGCTTGGTTTTTTGTCCATCCATTAGGTTTTTTGCATAGGGAGATGAGTAGTCGGCCCTCTAATTCTTCAATATCACTCCATTCACTTGCCTGTGCTGCTTGCTGGTATTTTGTATTCAGCGATTACTGAAGATGGTCGTCGAGGGAATGTGTCTAGGGGTGTCAGCTCTAGGGATATCGTCTACCCGGGAAAGCGTGCATCGCGAGTCCAACACAGTGAAGCCCAGTATCTTGATTTTCAGGATGAAGGACCCAATATGCAGCAAACGGTGGAATCATCCAAGCAGAGAGCAGAGACCCTCAGGAGGCTCCCCACCCACACTGCAGGCGGCAAGACACTCATGCTCAAGGCAATCCCCAAGCGAAGCCCCTCCTCGCAAAATTTTGTCCAGCGCGTAGGCACACCAGGTGTTTCTTGCTCTATTGGGGAAGAGGCTCGGGACAGAAAAGTTCTGCAGCATGCTGTAGAGCTGGGCAAGCAACACCGACAACCAAAACTTGGGTATCCGCTTTTTCATTCTGAGCCACCCAAACTGCTCTCCGGTGAAGCGCCCACAACGCCCCAGTCGCAAGGAGAAGTATCGAGGCCTCCTGACTACCTGCCTGGTACAACAAGCCTTGGGTCTGGGGGTTTCGAATCTGGAAGGGCGCAACCTAGAAGCGACTCTAGCGTCGCAGTTCAGAAGACAGCCCCGCGCGTTGGAGAAACTACTCTCCCAAGCACCTATTTTTCTACCATGCAAATACCGTCACGCACTTCATCAGTCCTAGGATCTAATCGTGAAGGCGTGCCAAAGCAGCCCTTATCAAGGAAATTATCCTATGTTTCTACATTACAAACTCCGGTTAAAGCAAGAACACAGCGTCAAGCTCCAATGCATAGCCCGCCAATGCCTACGGCGAAGGATATCAAGGTAAGCGTTGCTGATTCCCGCCCATTGCAAAGCAGTGTATTATGGGGAGGACTTTTCGTCCTTAGTAAGGGTCTACTCTGTGTATTAGTGCATTTTGACCTGCGTGCTGCACGCCGCAGGAAGCAATTCGGCTTCAAGCCGTGTGGCGGGGCCACGAAGTGAGGACGTGGGTTCAGGCGGCGTCTGTTGTGCGCTCTATGAAGTGGGATTTCACTTCTGGAACTACCAAAAGTACTGTCACGACCCACGTAAAGGCTGCTGTCCCAGGTCGCCTCAATGCCAAAAAGGCTGGACCACCAACCAACTCTCTAGCAGCAGCTCAAGTACCCACAAAAGCTTTTCGTTGCCATATACGAACGCCTGCAGGTGCCGCAGAGGCCTATTTATTAGGTACGAAGGCAGACGCCTAGTTTGACACTCTTAGCCATTGCTACTCCACCTGGAGTGTGGTTAAGTAGTGCGTACTTTGTGTTTGTTCTGAATGTGAGTGCACAGGGAAGTCGGAAAGTGAACCAATCGGCGTTCATGATACCAAAACTTCCACTGAAGAACCAGCGCCCACTTTGCCATCGGTGAACAGCGGGCGCATCAAGGAGCAACCATCAGCGCAGGGGCAGCCAAGTGACACGTGTGCTTCCAATGAAAGCCATCAAAGAGCTGTTGCCGGGAGTAAGCAGTCCGTCCCCGTTGCTCTGCCTCATGAAGGATTCGGGAGAAAGCAGTTTAGTGGGCAGGAGATAACTGAATCTCCGCAGTGTGGCTTACCACCATCTACAACAAGCAACGCGTGTGGCGCTTCCATCGGTCCACATACAGCTGACGTGGGTGAGAGCCCCTTTTCTGTGAAGACATTTCCGTCCATCGCACGAGGTGCAGATTTAGTAGATGCGAGGCCGCAAAGTCCAATTATCCAGAGATCTCAGGGAGCTCCTGAGGCTGAGCAACATGCGTTGCCCCGTGGTACGCGAGAGCTGGATTTATCTTCGCCTGCTCGCCAAAGTGATCATGTACAAGGCGCAGGCAACGAGAATAGCAAACTTTGTTCAACCGCAATAGCCCAAGCTGAAAACAAGGAAGTACTTGAACATAGAGGCCCAATGTCTGTTCCAGAGCGAACTGGCCTGGTCGGAAAGCCTTCCAAACTCAAGGACAATCTCGAGGGAAAAAGCAACGAGGGCGACTCACGACGGACTCCAAAGTGTTCACAAGGTGCAACAGGAGAGAAACCACTCAATATGGAAGATACTCTAACATATAATGCCTTGCATGAACTAGCAACTGCTGATGGTGTAAAGCCTTCACATGCACTAACCAAGAAAACCCCAGAGATGGAGAAAGGTAGCCCAGCTGACTCTTGCGTTCATCAGTCTCAAGAGTTGGAAGGATCTTCATATAGGAGAACCCAAAGGCATATTACTTACTCTGTAGCTCCCTTTGTACCCCTCGTAGGGCGACCGACGAAGGCAGCTCAACACGGCCCGATTCGAGATTCCGTCCATGCGGAGCCGGCGGTAGAAAGTAATGAGCAGAACACCAGTTTGGATTCTGAAGGGGCCGTCTCCAATTTGGGTAGGCGCGTCTCCTTGGCGTTGCGCAACGCTTATTCCATTTTTGGCAAGGTGGCGCCAAGGGGGAGACAGCAGCCTGTTCAAGGGCAAGGGGAAAACGGGGTGTCACATGCTGCTGTGGGATGGTTGAGGGGGCGCAGCTCTGATGAGGCAGCAGAATTACAAGCCGAAACCCCAGTGGAAAAGGAAAAGGTCATCATAAAGAGCATACATGGTCTGTCTGTGGATGAAAGCGGCAGTCCAAGCATATCTTGGCCACAACTTAGTCTATCATCCACCCCACCAGTGGTTCAGAGAACCCCTCCGGTGTGTCCAGTTGAAGACATTGAGTCAGATCGCCAGATCTTGGAAGCTGAGACGAAGCGTTGGGGGAGGCGTTTGACAGCTGTAAATAATCATGAACCGCGCGCACTTGGTACAGGGCCAACGCTTAATCCCTTTCGTCAGATGCACCGAACGGAAGAATTCGTGGAAACACAACTGCAGCCGATGCCGAGGAAGAAGTAATTCTTGACGCGCCGCTGTGAGCGAAGGCAGAGAAGGGGGTCATGTGTTAAGGACATTCTCTGCCTCTTCGTGCGATTTGTTTTGATTGTTGTTTGGTTCACTTTGGCGCACGTGGTGGCTAGTCCAAGAGCACTGGCAGCCCAGCAATCGGTGGCCTTTTGCCTTAGCTTGATGTCGTGGAGTCCGCCATCGTTAATTTTAGCTTCGGGTATGAATTTTGGAAACATGTAGCGCTCCCACAGCAGATTCTTTCCTTTGGTATGCAATTGTCTCTAGCCGTAGCTCGGTTCCGTGTGATGCAGTGCATAATACCGTGAAACGGTGTTGCTCACTGACTATGTGGCCCCTTGGGCGCACGTAAGCCCGATTGTGTACACAATTCCACTATTTCTGCTAACTTCATTCTTCTAGGCTTTGGCAAGATAGCTGCACAGGGCTTACGCGAGTCTGAAAAACCAGCATAGCGTACGCTGCACTGCTTGTCATGTGTATTATGGACCAGCCCAACTGCACATGCCACTCCAGAATCCCAACACAAGGGCGGCCGCAACACCTGCAAACGCATAAATTAAGAATTCCACGACACAAAATATGCCGCTTCACCGTGGCTCTGCGTGTATGGACACTGCAAGTAGGTAGGGGGCATACCCCCCATGGCCTCCGAAGAAGTGAATTTGTGTTAGCGTCTACATAACGCACTGATTTAGAATTTGGTCGAGTGTCTGGATACCTACTATGATGTTCGGCTTCCCCAAGGTACATGGTGCCACTCAGGTTGGCTATCTGCTTGACTATCTGGCCTGAGCCTGTGAAGTTGCGAGCATCGCCGGACCTTCTGCCAGTTGAACGGTACGAAGAAACAAGCCTTCGTAAAACCAAGCAGGGAGAAAGGCAACTGGAATGTCCTCCCAATAATAACTATCGGCATTGCCTTGGGACGAAACCTCCCAAGGGCAGCTTGTTTACAAGCTTCGAACGGGAATGAGACCTCTGAGGAACTGGTGTTCGGCAGGAGACGGGTTTTCCGCAGGGATGTGCATTCCCTGGGATCCGCCGCTTCTCCCGGTATCTCTATTCTTCTCAGTGGTTCCATTCACACAGTCTCATCCTCTGTACTTGCACGCTAAAAAAACGCGCCCATTTCGCTCTGCTGCATCTCTACATATCTGCCGCATCACAGCGGCCCCCCGTGAGCTTCACGTGAGATTCAAGATGAATGAGAAGTACCAGAAACTGCAATAGATAAACTACATCCGTTGCTCACGCTGGATGTTTGTTTGTCATCCGTTGTGGCACTGTATGCCAACCGTTTACTATTCGAGCTGCATCCGCAAGGGAAGTAGTCAGACCCTAGCAGTAAACACCGGTGTTGTATCCCCCCAATACAGCACCCCCAGCAGAATGACCCCGCTTAAAGTCTAACCAGAGTCCCAGGCTAATCAGTGAACGGTTGAGGAACGAGCCATCCAGAAAGATATCGTTCAGGGGCGACCAAGCAAGTCCTGCCTCCTCTCCCTCTCAAGCGGCAAATCTAGCCTCTCAATAATCCTAATATCCTGTAGAATCATTCCCTAGATAATGCTAATACTGGAATCTGGCAAAAAGCGGCGCCAAGCAGCCATGGCAAATCTCCACAGCAGCCGCCAGCACGCCACTGAAGCATAAAGAAAAATTGTAGTTAGCTTATTCTAAGCGGCACAGTGCAAAATATCCGGTAGCGTCTAAATTACATGGGAATCACACCACTCTCACCATAGAGCACACTTACCCATACTCTCTACAGAGCGATGCTACCGATGCTGTCAACGAGATGGGAATGCAATGGACTACCGTGCGACTCGCTGCGTACAATAACCGTTATGACGGCTTCATAATGATACTGTTTAAAACTAGAAAGCTAGGGAATAGACGATTAATTCAGATTTGGCGCTGCTTTCCGCGCAGAATAATAGCGCTTGTGTGGGACGTCCGTTCCCTGAAATCACTGGATGAGAGCGGTTGACCTGGCTGCTGCCCTTGGCTTGTTTCTTGGGCTGCGAAAGATGTTATTGTATATTTTTTGCTGCTTTTTATCTTCTGCATAACGTGGAGCTTTTTTTGAGTCTGCAGAGACGATTGATCTAGAGCTACTGGCGTTTCGCCGCATTCCAGTGGCGAGTACGCCTTGCGGTGTCACTGGCTGCTTGCCACTTCGACCCTCCCTTCGGGGCCGTAGCGTTATTCGAGGATTTATGTATTACCCGTTGGTTTTGACACAAATTCACAGTTCGGTCGTGGAAGCGCACCTGCAGGCGCAGCATCGTCCCTCCCCATCAGCTGGACGTTGCAGGAGGGAGCAACGGGAGTTCTTTTGCTTTTTTTAAGGCGCTGGGTACAGCCCACGGATTTGGTATGACTTCCAGGCCTGCAAGGATGGCGGCTGCGAAGTTATTACGACGCGCGGCAGCTGCAGCCGCCGCTGTGGTGTTGCTGGGAACATTCCAGGGCCCATCGGACCCCAGCAACCTAGTTGGCTTCTCTGGGATGAATTTCAGCTACATTTTGGCAGTTGAAGCGGGGAACTCCAGAGGCTCCGACGGTCAAAAGGAGCGGAGTGGTTTGGGAAAGGGGAATGGTAAGGGATCGAAAGGTGGTAATGAGCCTGAACGGCGGAACTCGGACCCCATGCTGCAAATGAATGGAGACGACGACCACGCAGAAAAGGAGGGATCCAGTGCTAAGAAGCGTCCAGCAAAACGTGGTGGTGTGAAAGGGCAGAGCAACCTGAGGGGCTCTGCGTCCAACGCAAGCGGTGACAAATCTCTAACATCCGAAAATCCAGTCTTAGAGAGCATCTTCAGCGCCTTCACCGAGTTCGGAAAGGTACGCTGCATGGAAGAGGTGTATCCGTTAATAGCAGCGCATTCTCTAAAGGCCCTCTTCGTAGAAACCAAACGACGAAGTGCTAAGGCCATAGAGCTTTTTTTCCCACGAAGGAGTTGACTTATTGCTGTGCTGTGCAGCACTAAGCAGTTGTGATAATAGTGCCTCGCATTTGAAGCAGCCTTTTTGTGAGATGTATTACCATGTGCCTATTACTTTATGCTAATGTGAAGTACCCGAACGCCATTGCTTGTGCATTTGCAGGATCCAGATCATCCTCTTGCTGATCAGGTAAAGGAGGTGAGGGCTCTTAATGAACTAATCGACCGAATCTTTGTTCCCCGCCTGCAGACTCCGTAAGTCAACCTATTCATAATTTTTGGTAGGACAGTGTCTAGATGGATATATGCATTTCCACTCTCCTGCTGCCTTCGTATATTATTGTCCTTTCGGCTGCTCAAAGCTGTTAATTCGACAGGGATCTAGGTTACGTTTGGAATGCGTTCGCGCAAAATAGGGCGAAAAATATTCTGTGTGCTATCTCTTGGCTGAGTACAGGCCGAAGTATACTGGAGCTTTGGAGTGTGTGAATATGTCGATTTATCGCGACGTGCTGAGCGGGCCAAAGAAGGTGAAGGACAATCCTACCCTGCTGCAGCTGGCATACAGTGTTATTCGCCGTTCTCCTATGGGGCTGGAGGTTCCGGCCCTGTTCGTGGAGCTGCGCGTTGAGACAGATAAGCGGGTGTGGGAAGAAAGACGAAGGAAGGAAATACGTCTTTACGAACTGAGAGGAGAACCTATACCTGAAAGACTGCAACTTTCTGCGGATGAGGTGGTGGCGCTCGATGCTGAGGAGCCTCAAGATCGAGAAGAGGACCTGTCAGAAACCGAGTTGGCCGCACGCACCATCATGATAGATGGATGGATGAAGGAGCAGATGCGGTTGCGTTTGTATTACCAGAAACGCGTTGGCACACTAGACGGGGATCCGCAGGATCTTGTAGAAGCCTTTGACGCCGGCCCCGAAATCACAGTGAGCGTAGAAGAAGTCGTCGGCCTGGGCTACGGAGCGGTTCTGGATCCTGAGCCTGATGACATTCAAAACTCACTGGTGCGACGTGCTAATGCCCGCGCCGCAGAATTCTAATTAGATGATGTTCATCTGTCGCACCGTACATAACCATAGGCAACTCCTGCGGCAGCCCCTAGCCGTTTTGGAGTGCAAAACTGGCGAATCGCGTCGACTTCCTGTTGCTTCCGTCATTGGCTGCAGCGCCAGGACGGAAATATAATCAAAATGAGGCAGTGCGGAGCGGTTCGTGGCAATCCATCAGTAATTAACGCCTGCAGCATTGCGCCGCAGGGGGAAGGCTGTAAAGGCTAATGAAGCTATGACGCGCAGGGGCGGTTGGCTTGCCCAGGGCAGCCCATTCCGTAGACTCGCCCACTGCGAGTGAGCGATGCACTTGCGGGCTGGTGTTAGGAGGCTACATCTGGTTTGGTCGAGCGAGGAGAGCAGTGCAGCCCAGAGCTGCTAGGGAATTTGTTGGATGTGGCATTTCATGGAGTTTGAGCAGCGCCGACATCGCCCAGCGTCTTTGAATGGGCTGAGTTGATGGTGACTGCTTAATAACAACGAAGCACCGTTTCCCCCTGCCTATCAGTTCTCCCCGACAAATAATTGAGGATTGTTCAGCTGCTCTGTTAAGATTTGCGTTAGCTTCCCAGTACCTGCGGTTCTGTGATAGCGTGAGAAAGGGGGCTAACATGCTCAGCTTCACCAGCCCTTAACTAAAGGGCAAATCTAGCTTCATAAGGAGCGGCACGGGCAGCCCTATAAGAAGCAGCATGAGCAGCTTCCCTCCACGGGCATCGCCTTGCGGATTCTGTGCCAATGTCACTTTTCCCGCAAGGAACTTTCACAATATTGAAGTTCTTGTTGCGTGACTAGCTGTAACACACGACCGTAAACATTCCGGCAACCCATCACAAGCACCCTACAACCAATGTAGCATGGCATCACCCCTGTCTGAACTGCTCATACCGACGACAGTCTACCTGTCAGGAGCTGGATCTCCAACACATTCCCGCATCTATTATTTCCTGTGCCATCCCACCTTCGTTGACCGATAGTTTCACGTGCCAACGGGCGAACAGATAACTTGCAGAACGTTGCATTTAACTCTAACGAAGGAAATCTAAAGTGTACAGGTCAATGTTGTCTTGGGCTTACGACCTCTTAGGGAACCGCTACGATGCACAACCAGCTGCTGAACGCTCAAAGGCTGCGGGTACACGTGCCAGCAGCACGAGCAGAATTATTGCCTCGAGCCTCCGTGAAAACGTAGAGACAATGCATGCTGTCTCCTAGACAAACAGTGTAACTCCAGCTGCTCAAGCAACCGCACACGTTCTAAGGCATCTACATATCGGCGTCTTTCTGAAACTGCGGCTGCAAATTATCCGCGGCACTACCCACATCTGCTGCAGTTAGTATTGCTGCTACTCAGCTCATTAACATTGGCCGCTCAACCAAGATCTTCCACTCTGCCGCTGGAAGTCGTCCCCTTAGCAAAGTGCTGTTGATTCCTCCGTCTTCTACCAGCAGCTGCTGCGGCCGCCGCAGTGCGGCACTGCTGCCTTCGCTGGGCTGTGTTAAGGAAGCCCCGGTTCTCTTTGCCTTCGGGTGCTGGACTGCGGGAAGCTGCAGAAGCTCTAGGTTGCACGTCTTCCCACTCGGGTTCTGCTTGTGCGTGTTGCTGTGTTTGTCTTCTTCGGCAAAAATAGCAACAGAGCGACGCACAGACGTGCCGAATGCCAAACCACGTCAGCGATAGGCGAAACCTCAGTCTATCCATGAACGAAGCCTCCCCGGCGTGCATCGTTTGATACTTGTTCAACAGAGCGGTGAGCCGCTTTAGCTCCTCCATGTTTACTGTCCCGGCCTTATCCTTGCCCCCCAACAAAGAAGCTACAGCCTCCGCCACAGCATCTTGACTGTAGTCGTTCGGGTTATTTTTACCATCCATACCGGCGGCTCGCATAGCTGCTTGCACCGCGGCAATATCTTGCACCATAGTCTGATTGTACTGCGGACAATCCATACTGGGCTGCTGCTTCGAACCCACGCCACTAAACCAGTCCTTGAGAGTTGCCTTCACAGAACCTAGTAAACCACTGCTATTCCCCGTACCGGCCTCCGCAGCAGCAGCTTCAGCTGCCTCCGACCGCGGGTCATGTTCCAAATTGCGGAACATCCCCTGGAGCAACTTCTTTTCCTTTACTGCGTGGGCAGCCTTCAAGTGCCGTAGCTGGGCCTGCAGCGACAAGGCCAAAGGACTCCCCGGAGATACGCTCAAATACCTATCTACAGTGGCCAATGCGCCGTCGAAGTCCCCCAATTCCTGCTGCGCCTGCGCAACCGAACAAAACAACATGCACAGCACACTGCTTTTACTGTATGCATACTGCTCCGCCTTCCTCATTCATGCACGCGGCTCGCGTCTCCCCCCCCCTTGCCAATTACCCACCACCTCCCCAGCTGACTGTATTATAGCAACCAGCCAGCACAGCAACAACAAAACGAACCGCCAACTATGACCGCTAGCTGCTCTGCAGGTATATTTGGATGCACCCCTAGTACCTGAGCTTTTCTATAGAGCGCCTTCAAAGCTTTCGGGTCACGCTGAAGCGCTTTGTCGCAGTACAGGATGCATGCGGCCCAGCGGCTCTCCTTGAGGGTGGAGAGCGACAAGTTCAACAAATACGACTGATGCATCTGAAGGCATACGAGCAGGCACAGCAGAAATAAGCAGTCACAACAGCCGTACTCTGCTTACTGTAAAGAGGTGCGAACACTTAGCTTAAAGAAACCGGCCGTCATGACAAGCGCAGCTGTGGAACCTAAATTTTGAACCAGCTGCGTCGCAATGTTATAAGCATTCGCTAGGCTTAAGACGTACAGCGAGAAACTCCTTCCTCTTGTCTTCATCGAATTCGTCTTCCCTCGCTAAGATATATTCAAGCGTACGGAGTCCACGGCTCCAAGCATCAGTTGCACCTCTCCAATCGCCGGCCCGAAAAGCTCGCAGCCCTTCCTCCCGTACGCTGTCGGCTGAGGTGGGGACTTCATCGCTAGACAGTGCAGCGTCGGCGGTGTTCTTACGAAGATCACGTGCCTCATGCGCCAGCGAAGAAGATGAGCACTCCATCTTGCTGCTGGCGCTGCCGGTGATCTTGTTCTCGCACGTATATGGAGGAGGCTCCATGGGTGTAGAAGAAGCGCGATATTAGGTGAAAAGGAGAAACTTGTACCCTTCAGAGAAAATGAACTGAGATGGTCTACTGAGTATGCTTTCGCGACGGTGACTCAGTAGTGACTGCGCGTCTTTGAAGCAGAGAGCAGCGCCACTCCTAGGAGCATGCACGCCGCACCAGCAAAAAATCGGCAGCTCAGGTGCTCTCCGAGAAGCAGACAAGACAAAACAACAGAGAAAAGGAAGTTGGATGCAAAGACTGCGACGCTGCTGCTGCCAGCCGACGGTGCAACTAATAGGGACTTGACATGGAAATTGAGCATGAAGCCATTACATGCGAGCATGCAGCCGAAAAGGCAGGCGCGCAAAAGAAGGACGGCGCTAAAGAAGCAGGCAACTACGCTTAAGAATACTTCCCCCCCTAACTCGTCAACACCAATGAACTTGCAACGAGGGCCAGAAGTAGCGAGCAGCACTGCCGCTCTGCCAATTTGAACTACCAAGGCTCCAAAGCCATCAGGTTTCAGATTAAACTGCGTGAAGCCAGAGTCTGCATCGCCTTGCACCAGAAGCACGTCTCCGTCGACGGGGAGACTGGGACAGAGCCAACGCAACAAGGAAGCCGAGAACTGCTGAAGCGGATCGCTGGGACTGAAGCTGCAAGCCAGTTTTCCTAAGACAGACGCTGCAGCAGCGAGAAATCCTGTGAAAGTCACAAGTTGAAGGAAACGCAGTGGACGGAAAGCTGAGTTTGAGGCGGCAGGGTTGGCAACCGCAGCAGCACTGGCAGCGTTACAAGGAGATGAACCGGACTGTCGACGGTCAGAAGAGGTAGTACGTGAGCGTGAGACGACAGATTGCGCGGGTTTAGAAGAAGCGAAAGCCGCAGCCTGGCCTTCAGTTGCCCAAAGACTGTGGTCGGCAATGTTTGGCGCTACCATCGCTCCGCCGTGGGTGACGAAGAGGCCATGCTGCTACTTTACAAACAGTCAACAGAAAAAAGCGGTTAATACTGAAGGAAAGTAAAAATTTCTAAACCTCCCCATACATCACCTGAGATGGCGATGGGGTGCTGCAGACAGCCGCTGAGACAGTAAGTGTCGGCTGGGGCTTGGGCAAAAGCCTGTGGAGTTTGCATGCTTCGCGTGGAAATAAACACCTTCCAGTAAGAAAGAGTTTTCTAATTTTCACTCGCTCAGTTGTACACAGAATAAGTTAGACGGAACCCGCGCGGCTGGCATTATCCAGGAGCAGCGAGTTGCTGCTCGTTGCGGGAGATTGCTTCGCAGCTACTGAAGGCGTGGTGGTTTGTGTATATACGGCGTTTTTTTTTGAACTTGCAAGTGTTACATGCGGTTTCCCGTATGTATCTATTTTTTTGAAGGCGTCAAGCGTCCATCTGCAGTGTGTTTACTCAGGTTCTGCCTGCAAAGGATGACGGACTGCTCTTCGCCTAGGTGTGATGTGGCATCGCCTGTAGCATTGTCTTGTAGTTGGTGGTAGTGCTTTTGGTTGAGTCGATGCCGGATACTGAGGATCAAATGAGTGTTCAACTAGTGCCTGCAGGATTAGTGCATGGCGCAAAGTGTCTAGCATGGTCTTGAAGTAGGAACATGACTCTCCAGGCGTGCAGGATGGCCGACACGTTCCGAGTAAATGTTTAATACCGTCTGGTGCATGCAACAGTGAGAGAGTCGTTGTGATTGAACGGGGGTCTTCCTAGCGGCATGAGTTGCAGCGAGGTGAGGTTAAACCAATACAATACTTGAAGACTTGTTTAGTCATCAATCGACAGCTTGCACGCAAGTAGCAATGGACGTGCCAACGTGATAAAGCGCAGGCTAAATCGGCCCTTCCTCTCGCCTGAGCTAGGCATTTCATGTGTCTGGCTGTGCCGCAAGGGATGAGTGCACAAGGGAAGGGAAAGGAGCTGGCAAGCGATGCCACTGACCTCGCCGCTGAAAGGAAGAAGGGAAATGAATACGTGGGAAAGTGCGACTGGCATGCTCAAATACTGCCTCGATTCGCAGCTTCTGGCGCCTACGCCCGTCCCATTGCTGCAAGCTCGGTCGCTGAAGTAAGCAGCCGTCGTACGAAGACAGGCGTGATGTGCTGTTCCCCAGAATCTGACCCTGCTTTGTAATGCGCCCATCCCAGCCGAATCAGAAGTGTAGTTTGAGTCGCCGCCGGCGTTCAATATCGATAAAGGGTGCCACAGGGATCTGGCTACTCCCAAACGAGGGGTCCAGCAACAAAATAGAAAGAACATTGTGGACGGCGGCGGCGCCGTGACGGCCATGGGTGCAAGCAATAGCTCAGATCACGAAGAGAAAGTAATTGGGGCTGGTAAAGTATTAAAAGGATATTTTAAATGATTTAAAATGGGCTGGAGAGTGCGTACATGCAAGGGCATGGTCACTAATGTGCACGCGACTGAGTAACTGCAGCCAAATGGGTTTATGCAATTTAAGCTGCGCTGCGCGTGACCACGCTTGTATAAGCACAGACTCTACTCGGGGACGATCTGCAGAAGTGCCTGTTTCCTCCTTTCGACCTATCCACTGGGCCGCATGTTGCGTAGGGCAAGGGTTCGCTGGCCTCTATTGCATCGCTATTCGAAGGCTTTTGTTTTTAGTTCTTATATTTCCTCTACTTTGTGAGTGCCAGATTCCCTTTGTGCCGGCTGTTCCCCTTTTAGGGACGGATCTCGCATTAACACCCCCCAAATCTATAGGCTCTATAACTACGTCGTTTCCAGACATTTTTTCTTTATCTTGAATTATGGTGGTAGCCGTAGGTTTTTTCTCTTGTTGACTCATAAGGACTCCACCAACTGCTAGACTTCAAGCCAGTCATCTCTTGGTTCTTTCTCCATGGACCAGGCAGTTACCGACTGCCTCTTTTCTGGGGACAGCTTCGGTGTAAGTTATTAATGATATGGAAGTTCCGAGCCGACTGTTGGTATTCTGTTCACCAGGGACTAATACTTGCCGACGTGGTGCAGCGCTATTTCAAAAGGTCCCCTGTTTACGTCTTTTTTATTCGGCCGTAGTTGTTCCATCGCCAATTCAAAAAGCGTGCGCAACTTGGAAGAGTTCTGGATCCGTTGCTCTGGAAAAGTGGCACCCTTTCAGCCAAGCATCCCTTTCTGAAATAGAAATACCAATACCACCTGTTGGTCTTCAGGCGCACGTCCGAGAAAAAATGGAATTTGAGCCCTCATCGTGGCATCTGTACGGTTAGCAGTGGTATGCTTTCTTGTATAGACACTTTCCACTATATAGGCTGCCGATACTGCGCTCGTTGCAATAAGGCCAGGCAACTAGTTGATGGCTGCTTTACTGTCAGAGGCTAAATCCGGATCAATCTCCAAGACTCCAGATATGGGCGGAAATTTTGGAAATCATCCTAGGGGGGAATATCTAGAGACCTTCCCCCCACTCCCCCCCTGCAAAACGTCTTCGTTACTAATCATTACTACACACTAGGCAGAAGAGGTGTGCCAGTAGAGTACTCTCCTCGCACCTGTCCAACTATGCGACGCTGCCAGGTGAGAGGAGGGTCCTCCATCCTACCAAGGAAACGTCATGAGAGTCAACAGGGTCAACATACTTCAGATAAGTCTTCCATGAGAGTAGACTACCTCTACTCCCGCCTCCAGGCGTCCTTGTTACCGCGGTTTAAGTGCTTCGGGCTGTTGCGGTGAAGTGGCGGCCTGGCATAAGATGCAGGTCCCTTGCTGGGCAAGGTAACTCCACACTGTAGTGCACACAACCCCTCCTTGTTGCATGGCATAATATTGTAGAATGCTACTAAACAATCACGCCTGTCCGTCAAGAGCCAACCTGCGCTGTCCACGTACCAACATGACGCCAGAGCATGTTACAATCGATGGTTCAAACGCAACTGCTTCGTCAGGAACTCAAGAGGGGAGTGGTAAGTAGTACAAAAAAACGTTATGATTACGGAATGAAATGGGAACTTTTATTCATAAACTATTTTGACACGAGATGCCCAGCCTAGTCTTGAAGACAGTGATCGCACCTTGTCGTGCTTGTGTGGCTACGTGAGTAGCTTGACGGGGGGCTATAGAGACCTTTAATGATCTCTTTCCTGAGCCATTACAAACAGGAGGTGGAGATGTATGTTTTCAACTAAAAAAGGAAATAAATTACTGCCGATAGGCAAAGGGCAAACAAGCTGGCATCTGTTGCAGCCCTCAGCTTGAGGGAGCCGGCTGCTGCTAGTGGCTGCCCGTGAAGTGCAAGTGTCGGTTGTGTGTGTTTGCGTGCACTCCAAGATGTATACTTCTTTTTTCCCTTTTTCCTGGAGCTGGTCGAATCAAAACACCGTGTGATTGCATAATTACTTCCACAGGTCCCGCTGGCCTGTTGGGATGACGAGCAGGGCCGTAGCGCGGTTTGCTCGCTTTGCGAACTTGCATTTTTTTGGAATTCTGGGGCTGTTCGTTGTGGAAAGCATCTGTTTTTCCTCAGCATTTCTTGTTTCCAACTCTTTGCCGAGTCCAGACAGGGCGTTGCGACAGAATTTGGCCGCTTTGAGCGCAGCTCGCTTTTCCACCAGGGTCGCGGCACCTCACGCTAGAGCAGCTTCTTCTGTGGCTTCTTCGGCGCGCAAGTCGCTGCTTGTGTGTCTCCTGGCCTCTACATTTCAGAAACGAGATACAACAGGAGTCCTCCAAGTCGCTGGAAGCAGCGAGGTAGCTGTAGGACGTTACGTTGCGACGTGTGCGGGAGCAGCGGCTTCCCCGTCTTGCGAGAAGATGCCAGTAGTGCTTTCACCCGGTGATGGAAATGGGGGAGAGGGCCTCCACTGGAAGCCCAGCAATGCAAACGGCACTCTGATCTTCATGCATGGCTTGGGGGACACTGCAGGCGGCTGGACGGAGTTGCTTCAGCTGTTTGAAGCTGCACAAATACACGAGAACACGCGGCTCATCCTGCCCACAGCGACGACGCGACCAGTGACGCTCAATATGGGGGTCCGTATGACGGCATGGAGCGACATACGGGGTCTCTCTGCAGACGCCAAAGAAGACAAAGAGGGCCTGATGGCCAGCAAGGCGCGAATCGACAAAATAATTGAGGCGGAGATCAAAGCAGGCATTGATCCTTCGCGTATTCTCGTTGGGGGGTTCAGTCAGGGCGGAGCTTTGGCCTACTTAGTAGGCCTAACGTCTCCGCACAAGTTAGGGGGCATAGTAGCGCTTTCTTCCTGGTGTCCTCTGGGAAAAGAGATTGAAGTATCCCCCCATTACGTGCAGGCCGTGCCGCGTATTCTGCACTGTCACGGAGCGTTGGACGAAATGGTGCGTCCGGTGTACGGACAGACCAGTGTGGAAAGCGTGCGAAACAGACTTATTGATTTGGGAGCTCGGCCGGAGAAGTGCCAAGAGGACATCACTTTTAAAATGTACCAAGGCCTGGGCCACTCCGCCAACCAGCAAGAACTCAACGATCTAAAGGCCTTCCTTTCGCGTGTCTTCGGCTCACAGTAAAGCGCATGAGGTTTTGTACTTTAGGCTTTGGGTCGCAATGTGCCTACAACGGAAAATGTGCTGTATTCAGTTGTATTCGTATACGATGTACTGCCATATGTACGATTCGATATAGCAAAAGCGCATTTGATATATTTCTCGAAGGGCCTGAAGATTGCGTCAGCTTGGAGTTGTGGCTTTTGCCGTTGGCCACCGTGTGGCCTCTTTGCTTAATCAAAGGCGCAATTAGAAGTGACAAGAATATCCTGTCTTGAGCTGTACCAAGGCCGCAGGTCCTTATCCGTATTGTTGTACTGCACAGTGATCATGGTTTTCAATGTGGTGTTGCGTGCCGGAGACCGGAACTTGGAAGCTCTTGGGGTTGAACGAAAAGGTACAGTTTTTCCCGAGGCTCTCGTTTCAGGCCTTCTGCTGTACAGACAGACAATGGGAAACAGCAGATGAACTGTGTACGCAGCAGGGCGCGTGAGAATTTTCATGGCCTGCTTGTCGTCGTTGACGCTTCAACAACGGAACTTCGGACAGATGTTTGGCTTTCTGTTAATTGTTGTACGGCTTCACTGCGGCACTTGCAGGATGAGGCTTTAATAGGGGGATTGTGCAGCAGAATACTGCCGACCCTCTCAACCTATTACTTCGGGGTCTTAGCATAGGACGGGGGCGGCAGATAGATAGCAGTGCACGGAGTAATTAGTGGGTTTATATATACAAAAGTATATATATATATATATATACTGCACCAATAGCAGAAATGCGCAGAAGCGTTAACGTTTCAGTGTATCGTGGGCCTCCTTGGTGTTCCTCCAGGAAAAGTCGAAATGCAGAAAGGTGTGGGAGACGGCGATTCATATTGGGATGATCTTTGTATGCATTGTCTTATCATACACCCTTTAACTAGTAGTAGTATTAATTATTACTTGAGTTAGTGTCCTTTTTTCCATTTGTAGGTAAGAGGGATTAGCTTGCTGCCTTGTGGGGCTGGGCCTGCCTTGTAAATGAACGCCGCCGACAGTCTTGCGGCATCAGACGCAGGGAATAAATACAACTTCTCGCGTTCTTTTAGCTTTAATGTAAGCAAAAGGATTTTAAATTGAAGTTGTAGTCGGCTCGTTCGAGAGAATAAGCATATTTCAACTCCCGTACTTTGTCTCGATGCTGGGTTTCGCCGGCGGCTGCAGTTAACGGAAAAAGCGGAATGATACAAAGACCAACAATAAACGCTTCCCACATCATTGCCGAAAATTTCAGTAGCACAACTGAAGAGCAGGCGCATACAGTCCGTTCTCGAACTGCGGAAGGCCGCCTAACAACCGAACCCAAACACTATGGTATCTGTGCGCTGCAGTTGCAGCAGCAGCAACTGTGATTCTTCAAGGTACTTGGTGCTCCCTCCTCCTGCTCCTGATGAAAACGACACTCACGAGGCGTTCCGTGCATCCCTTTTTCTGTCTCTAGGCATTGATATATGCACTGTCGACCCTCCTGCTTCAACTAGCACCCAGGGGAAAGGTGCTGCTTCTCTTTCTAATGGCAGCATCAGTGCCAATGCAAAGAAAAACCCTCTCAGGCTTCTAAGAATCTGCAGCTGCCTCTGCGCTGATTGTGTGCGGGTTAACTGCGGCATTTGGCTTGACGCCCTGCGCGTCCAGCACGCCTCTGACAGTGAGTTGTATTTCTTTGAGGCGCACTTGCAACGCCTCCCGAAGGCGGAAGGGAAGAGCACCAATGATGCTGCAGCAGCAGCAGCCACACCAAACAGTGATGCAGCAGCTGCAGCGAGCGACGCTCCAACAGCAGCAGAGACCCGAAAGAGGAAAAAAGATGGGCACTGTTTTCGCCTGGCGAGAGGCAGAACCCAAGGCAGCAGAGGAGAGGCCTGGGGTCTTCTTGCTGGTTGCTCAGGGCCATTCAGCTTCCGCCACTGCTTGACGATTATGCAGCGGCCTCCTGAGCTGTTCCTGCAAAACGCGCAGCAGCAGTGGGAGGCGGAGCAGGCGTCAGCAGCGGGAGCCGCCGCTGCTGCTGCTGCTGCTTATGCGTCTCAGGCGCACCATTTATTCGCTCTGTTTTGCGCCCCTGCAAATGAAGTGAGACAGTACACCCTCGACGAGAAAGATACGGCTGTTCTACGCGCTGCAGCCACCGAGCTGCAGGCATACGTACACCCCAAGGTGCAGGTGGCGTCATTCAAGCAAGAGGGGCGGGGGATCGTTGCTGCAGACGAGCTCAAGCGGGGAGAAGTGCTGCTGCGTGTCCCTGCCGCCGCCCTCATCAATCCGTATACCGCTCTGACACACCCCACATTCTCTCCTCTCGCCCAGCTGCTGCTGGGGTTGCCGCCCGAGATTTTGCTGCAGCAGGAAGCAGCAGCGCAGCAGAGGCCCCAAGAGCAGCAGCAGATACCCGAGCAGCCTACAGAACTGCAGCCTCTTGTTGACTGCGACGTCGTCTTGTGTCTCTTTCTTTTGTTCCTCGCCTTCACTGGTGGGGAAGAGGGGGGTAGAGCCCTGCTGCGCTTCCTGCCTGCTGCTGGAGAAGCGGATGCAGCAGCCACAGCAGAGGCTGTGTGCGGTTCTTCCGCTGGTGGCTCAGCAGCAGCAGCAGCAGCAGAAGCAGCTCGAAAGGAGGAGTTGTTGCTGATGGACTCTGAAGGGGTTGTCGAGTTCCTCGGAGACGCTGCCATGGAAAGCGCCGTGAGCCGCTCTCTGGCCAAGTGCAAAATGATGCACCAGGAGCTGCTGCCGCTGCTGCAGCAGTCCTTTCCTCCTCCAGCAGGGATGCAGCATGGTGGCGGGGTGCTCTCCGCCTGCAGAGCAGCAGCAGCAGCAGCAGCGGCAACCACAGCAACAGATGCGCCTTTCCACGTTGGTTTGCCCACGGGTGCGGTGGCAGCAGCAGCAGCAGCCAAAGCGAGTCCTTCTTTAGGGGCCCTTTCTCTTTCTTCTTGCAGTGGAGCAGCTCAACTCTCGGCTTTCTTAGCTCAGCTGAACTCTACCGACTTTCTGTGGGCGCATCTCATTCTCGAGTCCCGTTCCTTTTCGCTTCCTTTGCGGCCCCTTCCACCTCTTCAGGAGTTCCAGCCTGGGGCGAGGCCCCTTAAAAAGCCCCTTGGCGATGCCAACAAGGAGGGGCCGGGGGCTCCTGTCGATGGACCCCCGGCGGGAGACCCAGCGGAGGACAGGGAGGGAGAGGATGCGCAAGAAGACGCAGATGAAGAGGAGGAAGAAGAGCATCGGGTGCCGTTTCTGTTGGAACTTCTTGAGACGGCTGGTGCAGCACAGGAGTCTCGGTGCGTGTTGCTGCCTGTGGGGGTTCAGAAGGCGGCGCCCAGCGCGTCAACCCCTACGTATTTTGTGCGGCTTCCTCCTTCTTGTGCATCTTTCGTTCCCCTTGGAGACTTGCTGAACCACCATTTCCACGGACAGGTCTTGTCTCCTGTGCTCGAGGAAGAGTGTGGAAGCCTCTGCCTCTGCCTCCGTTTGGCCTGCGATGTGCCTAAAGGGGCCCAGGTGTACGCACATTACGGGCCTCTTCAGTCCTGGCAATTTTTAGCCTACTTCGGATTCTGCCCCAGTTCATTCCCACGCCTGCAGCCCCCTCGGAGGGAAACAGCAACAGATAAGACCGACTCAAACGCAGAATGGCAATTCAACGGAGAAGACAAAGGTAAGCCTAGCATTTCTCAGCTGCTACTGCTGTTCCAGTCGCTGCGCTGGCTACACCTTCAGCAGCAGCGGGTTGTCCTGCAGTTGCTGCTGCTGCTGCTACTGCTGCTTCAACCAAGACGGCCCGAACGCCATCGAATTTGTCACAGTCATATGACTTTCCAGCTACTGTCCTTAGTTGCTTGCTTTGCCTTCCGTTGTCTGTCTCTGATTACGACCGTTTTGATTTCCCAGTCTATAGATTTCAATTTCCTAGTTGTCTCTATTGATTGCGGTTGCTATCTTTGTTTGAATTGTTAGATAGGGTCTCCTGCTTGCGGCTTCAGGGAACCCAGTGGACTTCCTGACCTTGCAGGTGGAGGTCCCTGAAGATGACGGCGAATATGAACTGAAGAAGAGCCTCATGGATCTGCAGGATTTGCCACTCTGTGGCTTGTTTAGCACTGGGGTGCAAAGCCTGTCCTGGAGATTCTTGGCTTCGCTCTTCGTTTCTTCTCACGCCTCTCTAGATCACTTTTTGTGTGCAGGGGGGGCTGGAGCAGGTGGAGCAGCGGCAGCTGCTTCTGCCGCCGCTGCTGCAGCTGGCGAGAAGCCATGGGGGCCCACGTTCACATTCACTGCCATTCGCAATGATCCAGAGGCAGCTGACCGTATTCGTGAGATTATATCCGACGCGCTGCAATCCGTAGCCAAGGCAGCTGAGGACCGTAAGCGCTGTAGCTCATTGCTGCACTCGGCAGCAGCTGCTGCAGCAACAGTTGCTGCTGGGGCAGCTGGAAACGTTTGTTCGAAGGGGGCACAGTGTAAATGCTCGATTGTATTTATGCTCTACCCAGGCATATACCACCAGTTTCGTATGTAGATCCTCGCAAGCAAGATACAACTGCGAGTTGGGACAGAAATATAGAAACAAAATCTGCAGTAATTTATGGGGCTTTTGTTGTTGCCATTCTTGCAGGAACTGCACAATTGGACAAATGGAGAGACGACACAAAGGCCGCGCCGCGTTGGACGCGGGTTTGGGGCGAAAAACTGCGGATATATTTGGACAACCAGAAGGCCCTCGCGAACACGCAGATGGCAAGACTAGCGGACTATTTGACTTTCATTCCTTCGTCTTCCTCTGTGCTGTAGTCCTTGGGATCAGCTGCTGGCGAACCAGGCAACCCTGCTTGTGCCTCCGACTGTTCCTGATGCTGCTGCAGAGGTCGGGTGTATGCGCAACGCTGAGCAGCAGCGTAGACGCATGGCACACTGGTTTAATGCAGCCACAGTGAACTGGCTCCTTTCAATAACTAGGAAGGGCTTTGTTTGTCGTTGCTCTGGCTTTCTCGCCCTAAACTTCATACGAACATATTAAGAAATGGAATCTGTAGCAACTAGTGGGTGAGTGTGCGAACACCTGCTAGCAATGAAACGCATACCGCTTGCCCTCGCATACAAAGTAGATAGGGAACATATACAGCTCGTCTTCAACAAAGCAGCTGACACCACGTGGCGCGGTAAATTGCACGCAAGAAGAACGCCCAATTTAATTTGACGCCAAGTGAGCACTGGAAATATCTGTGTTCCCTGTTAACGGCCCTAAGTACTTTCAGCTGAAGATAGTAGGAGTACGATTCGTTAGTGCTTTAATACCCACGGGGGGAAACAGGACCGGTACCCAGAGTTCAAGGCTCCTGCTTGTCGCTTGTAGTTAGAGCTTCACTTTTGCCTACGCGCAAAAAGAATGGATAAGTTTAAGGTGAATCTGCTAGGCACCTGTCGCGAAAGAAGAACGGCCAGCAGGTGTCAGTCTGCTCCACGATGTGGAGGAAAGGCCTTGCCGCCATTGAAGTACAGCTTTCTTGATTCGTTGTCGGAATGTACAAATACAGGCTTACGAGCATCGCTAATGCTCATGAAATGTCCACACACATCGCAGTGAAGGTAACTGTTCACTGCCCTCGAATTATTGCGTTTATATTTGTGCGGTCTGTAGTTCATCTTTGGGGGGGTTCGCGCAGAACGGGACTGCGTAAGGTAGTGTAGCGCGGGTTTAAATCCATCTCCGTCCCCTTCCTGCTCTTCATTCTGCAAATTTAGTTTCGGTAATGCCGGTGTTGCTTTTGGAAGGATACAGCTGCTCTCTAAACATCCGAAGTTCGCACGGATGGCCGAGTGGTCTAAGGCGCCAGACTCAAGTTCTGGTGGGCGAACGCCCGCGTGGGTTCAAATCCCACTCCGTGCAATCTTTCTTCTTTGTTCTGCCCATTTATTTATATTGTGCTTACTTCTTTCTCTGGTCTACCGAAAGACGATATAGTGGGACTACGTAAAGCACGCAAACTATCCTTTATGCATATAAGCATACGCACATGCCTGCGCAGATTCTACGTGTGTAGATGTCTCCCTAAATAAAGCTACATGTGAGCATATCCCCCTGACGTTACCCAAAAGTAATCAGCATATGCCAGTTTTTGCGAATATGGCGCGGATATTCGACGGGCAGGCCAGTTGCCGGCTGTACTGAGGTGTACGCATAAAGTGTTTCCAACTGCCTCTCAGTGGACCGCGGTTTGTAACGTGCAACTGCGAGGCGTATGCAAAAGCCTTTCAGCGCCGTTATGAGGAATGTGAATATGCGTTGCAGTGTCGTTTAACATCCTGACTGACTGTAAGTGGAGACCACCTAAAGCCCTGCGATCAAGGACGGCTGTCCTTTTGAACAAAGAAGTTGGGGGAAAGCCAGTAAGTCACATATGCATACATATTTATATGCACATGGATGCACATACGTGCGTTTCATATATACGTACATGCCTACGATAACAAACATCACAGCCATCGTGCTCGCCAAAGTGGGGGTTTACAAACACCTAAGCTTCCGGCACATTTCAACCTGTGCCTTTCCCGCAGCCAGTCAAAACCGCAGCCCTTTTCTTCGTTAAGAACTACATCCCATCTCAGCCGTTTACTTCTTGTGGGCCTCGGAAAGAAGATTGTCCAGGCCAAACGGATCTGACACGTCCTGCAGCACAGCAGAAGATAACTAGGCACCGAATAAAGAACAACCAGCAGACACCACGCAACCAACAAAGAACGATGAACAAATGGCAATCAAATAACGGTTCTAATGAAAAGGTAACGAGCATGCAAGCTACGGGATGCATGCTAATAAACAGCGAACGACATCCCTCTGCTGGTGCTGCCGATCGGGATCGGGATTGGCATCTGCGCCAGGGATGCATTCTTTATTAACTTGCTTGTCAAACCAATGCATGGCAAATGAGGAAATACCCACAATGCACATAACCAACAAGCATATAACAGACAAGCAAAACAACATAAGAATCAATGGCAAGCTAAGAAGAGGACCTAACAGGTCAAGATAGGCAAAACCGCGCATGAACGCTGTACTTCCACCATCGCTGCACTCTAGCTGGAACTACATTCTTCTCCACTTTATGCCTTGCCCTTTGTGCCTTTGCTTTTTGTCCTTACCTTTTCGAATTCCACCGGGCCCGTCCTCGTGTACCTTGTTTTATCAGCACCAGCAAACGAAGCCAATTCCGAGTTTTCCCTGTGGTCAACCAAAAATAAACAATATGCATGCATATTCCCACCATGCAAGCAGCGGGTATTTATGTTTGTTGTACGTGCGGTACACCGATATCTAGAGAGAACGGGCTCGCACGAGACATGCAATGCATAAATGGGAACACATTTGTATACACGTGACTAAGATACAAAACAGGGTTGAAAAGATTTTCGCAACAGACGTTTTACGCACTTAATAACCTGTCTACACGCTTATATACAAACATCAATTCAACTATTAATCTCAAAGCATCGAAGCAAAACAGAAATTCAAGTATCCTCATTTGCTTAACAGAGCCACTTTCGAAAGTTTCATTGTGGTAGACCGCATCCTCATCACGATGAATACGAGTAAAGTATACATCTCGGCAAATGCATTTCATGTAATGGCAGTGCAGAAAAAAACCATCAAGAGGAGTTACGAAACAAACACCGTATTTCTTGATAACACCACTGTGATCAAACCCATCTTTATGCTGAAATGAAGAAAATATACAAGTCTCAACAGCTGCTCCTATTTTTCTTACCCGACAGAACTCGAAAACCTGTCGCGGCTGAATTGATAAATCCCTGCACCTCCTCGTTGGGCAAACAGGGGGCGATCATACAAGTTGTATGTGTCGTCTTCTCCTCCTTTGTATCCCTAGGGAAAGAACAACGTAACACGCAAGAAGACAGTGATTAGAGGCCGGACAAGTAGAACACAGCGGCTCAGAAACAATGCAGGGGAAGAACACGAGAATTCAGTAATATAACAATCACAATGCAGCCACTAAAACGTAGAAGGCGACAACGACGAACGCCTGCAAACGCTTGATTTTTTGCGATGCAGCGCCCCAAGGAACCGCAGCAACAGGCAGCACCAGCACGCTACACAGCTAGATAGGAAGAACACCACATTTAAGAGGAGGGAAAAATAAGAATGAATCCAAGTCCAACACTGGAAAGCAGCGACTCGAAAAAAAGTGCAACGACAGAAGACTGAGACTGATGCAGAAGAGGGGAAGCGCCGTTGGTGAATACGGAAAAACAAAAACGGGGCGCAGCAGCAGGCAGCGCATGGCTCGGGCCAGGGCAGCAAAGGCGCAACATTGTAATAAACTTGAACATATGCAAAAGAAGCAGTAAACTGCCCTCAGGCAATATAAATGACAAACCGAGTCAGTTCCCCCTGCTTGGTTGAAGAGACGCGCATCAAACATGGAGTCGGTGCGTTGTTTCTTCGCGTCCACCGGCAGCCCCAAGGCCACCAACTCGCTGATGTCTCTTTGAGAATCATCTCGGCGTTTTCCTCTGCTTCTCTGAACAGCAACATAACACAGTCACATAGTAAACATGACACCAACCACACAAATACACGTCAGTAAACGCACGGGAAACGACATTAAAGACGAAAAACTGGAAACAGGGTGAGGCACCGCCATGCGTTTCTACCATTACACGACACACGCATCATCCAACGTTATACAAAAGCAGAATACAGCAGGTATGGAGGGACTAAACCCTAAGGACAGAGAAACGCGAGAAATGGTTCATCTCCGTAGCTGTAAAAAAACAAGCCCGAAGGGGAAAAAAAGAGAAACAGAAGAGAATCTATTCACGCTTGTACCTCCAGGCGAACTGCGCGTTCAATGTCTTTCTCTCTTTCCCTCGCCACTTGTTCTCGTTGCTGCCGTTCTGCCTCCTCTTCCGCATCCGCCCCAGCAGCGCGCCTCGACTGCTGCAGCAACTGGGCTCTGTAGACATCGCCACACAAACAAAGCCCAGGCATCTAACAATCTATTTTAAACACTATTCCCCTGACTCCTCTCTTAGCTCTGCACGCGAGCAGCAAACAGCTTAAACGACCTCTACACAGCAAGGAGGGATAGGAAGAACTCGCAAAATCAACTAGACGCGAGAAAAATAGCCACCAAATCCCTCAGTTGTACACCTGACGATTTAATTCTGAGAGGCATGAAAGCACCTAAGTACAACGCAGACGCGACACTAGAACGAAATGACCAAGCCGTTAGAGCTCAAATTTTCTGACCTTTCTGCTCTCGCCTGAGCGGCGAGTTGTCTGAGTTGCTGTTCTCTGAGTTCTTCTTCGCGGATTTTCTTTTGTTTTTTAACTTCGTTGCGGAGTCTAATCTCTTCTCTAGCCTGCCGTTCCGCTATGTAAAGTGCTTCGGAAAGGGATGCAAATTTGTCGTTCACTGACACCTGAGGCAAGCCGCAGCATAAGGATAGCCCTTCGGATTTTCCTCTAGACGCGAAAGAATTCAATATAGGAAAAACAGAGCGATGGTGCACCTGCGGAAATTGACTGCCTCGTGGCAGCCCCACTTCTGCAGACCGCCAAAAAACCATACAAACACAATGCGCAGACAAGAAAGGCAAGCGAAAAGGAAAGAGAACAAAAGCAAAAACACTTCAAGACGAACATGTGGAGAACGCAGTCCCAACAACTTTCCTGACTCTTTGATGATTCCACGAAAAGCATGCATGAGGGCAAAATAATGTGAGGGAAGGAACACCCAGCACATAAACTTGCGTAAAATACCATAAACACACAGGATTTCACAAGCGAGCAGCTGCTGACGTCCCCTGGCAGAAGGTACCGCCGAACTAAGAAACAGACGGAGATACGAGCACAAGCAAGGACTCAAAGAGGAAATTTGAATAAATAAAGTGCCCAATTACAACTATGTGAAGAAAAATAGACCGAAATAGACCGTGATAACAACTCACATCTTGCAAGTTTCTGCCGTCTGCAGCAACACGCTTATCAAGAGGTATTGTATACCCCTTTTGGTTTTTCCAGTTGCTGACGCAAGGGGGAATCTTCCAGTCCTGCTGGTCCTGCAGCGTAAGTTTCCCTGAGGAATGGCAACCCAAATAAAATGCGTGTAAGTAAAAATGTGTAAAAGCACACAAAACAACAAGACAGGTGCAACAAGTAGTAAAGACCAAGACAAACACGACAGGGGCAGCACAGGGAAAACAAAAGAAATGCAATCGAAACACACACGAAGCGTAGGTAAATTACAGACAACATGCTGTTTCTGTCTGTCTTCTTAATCAACCAAGGAAACAGCAGAAGCACCAGCACAAGCAGCAGTGGCATCAGCATCAGCAGCAAAAGCAGGTGCAGCAGGCTGGGCAACACAAGGAAGGGAGGGTCATATGCAGTCAATCTGAATTGCATTACTTGTAGGAGAATGCAAAACAGGAGGAGGAGGAGAGAAACGAGCTGCTGGCACCCTTTTGTGTTTAAAGCGAGGGGGCTCCAAAGGATCAACGGGTAAGTCCTCAAGTCGTAGCAGCCGCTGCGCGCAGCCACTGTTATGCCCTTCTACCTGGCAAAGACAAACGCAAACAACGCAAACTGCGCTTCTTGGATGCACAAGCACGTGAACAAGAAACAGAAGATGGGCGAAGAAATAAGCACGATGAGCAACATGTTCGCAACAGATATGTGAAATGATAGAGAAAACAAACACACAAGCCATCAAGCAAGCAAAGAACCGAACAAACAGATGTAAACAAAGAAAAAAATAGCTCCTTTTTCAGAACTTATGAGGAATGATGGGGCCAAAGAAAGTGGCAAAAGACAAAACCGACATTCCCTAAAGCTGCGAAAAAAATATCCTTACCAATCCGAATAAGGAACAACCCCCGACAAACACAATATATACATTATAAATATAATACTTATAAAAAGCTAGTGGAACGCTCAAACGGCAAGGACACAACTATCTTCACGCGTAGACATGTAGGGAATACTATGGCATAAGAAATAATACAGACTATATACAATGTATGCATACCATTTTAGCTGGGGTATATCTGACGAATTCTGCTTCTCTATGTTGGGGCTGTGCTCTTCCAGCGTTGCTTTTCTTTTCGAGTTCTTTTTCGATGGCTTGTTTGGTTTTCAGCAATTCTTTTTCCTCTTCTTCTTTGCCGGGTATTTCCCGTGCTGCTGCTGCTGCAGCTCCCTGCAGCTGCAATCCATTGGCGCTTTCTGGGCCTGTATAGACGACTGCTTTATTTGAACCATGTCTAACGACCAAATCGTAAGCAAGGCGGCCGTCTGCTCCCACTTGCAGTGGAAGCGTCGAGCTGGAGAGGCCTCCCTGCTCGCAGAACAACGTAATAAAGCAATTGAAAACAAAACATGAAAACATATTGAATGCAAAAAATTGTATGCATATTCGAAAGCTGGAACCTGAACTATACATTGAAAAGCAGAGGAATACGCGCAGAAAACAAGGGGATAGATATAATGGCGAAATCTTTTTGCTGCTTCTGCTGTATTATTCATAAAAGCCAATTCAAAGTACGAAATACATTCAGTATTTCACAACAAAAAAACTTTTTGCTGGCCAGCCTTAACTTTCCAGGGAAAAAACCAGTTTATTTGCCTCTCTCTGCATTTTATTGTTTCTTCCTTCCCTTTCTGTTTGTATTGCATTAATACCTCTCTGAAGCAAATCTTCATCATGTATGAAAACATTTTTTTCGAGTTCCAGCATATGTGTATTTTTGCAGCAGTGCATATAATAGGCTCTTGGAAACCCATTTTAATCTAAAATATTCAAAAGTTTATATATTTCATTCAGAGAATTTCCTTACATCCATATTTTTGCCCATGCCCAGCGGAAACTGAGCGACGAATATTTCGGGGTAGGAGCCACCGCCTCCGAAGTCTTCTTCGCATTTTGGCACAAAACCTTGGCGATGAAGATAAGGGGGTATAGAAATGCTGCTTTTATTGTTGCTGGTAGATTTCAAAGGACGAATGGGCGCAGTAGACAAAGAATAAGAACCGAGAGAAGCATCTGAGACGCACAGACGAGAGGCGCGGGGGGCCGGCAACCTCCTGCGGAAAGCAGAAGAAAGCAGAAGCAACAAACAAACGAAAATATTAAATCCTTTTGATAATGCATTAGTAAACGAAAACCAATAAAACCCCTGCATGCTGCTATAATCATGCCAGGCACATATTTCCACATGCTCACAAAGCAGCAGCTAGTTTGTATTCAAGGCGTTGTTCATAGCTCAGCATATATGCTCTTTATATAATATATTATATATATATATATATATATACAGCTGATGTGCCTACGGCAGTGCAGCCTTCTCAAAGCTCCTGACAGTTTGAAAAGGTGGCAAAATTTTAATCATTATATGAAATATATTTGTATGCAAGTCTGTATGAAGGAGCATATATGAGATGTATTTCTATTAAAAGAGTTCCGTAAAGAAACAGCAGCAGGGCTCAAGCAGCATGGGAGGGGAGCTTACGTGAGGAAATCAGCCATCTTCGTATTTGTCTGTTGTTAGCCCTTCATTAACGACCTGTTTTGATTTTGTTGTTGTTTTTCTTCCTGTAATTCTGCGTTTACTTCGCGAAGAACAGCCAACTGAACCTTTGAGGCGCCCTACACTTAAACCCTAAACTGCAAACTATCAGGCCCGCTGGAGCAAACCCTCAGCAACGAAAGAGGCGGCACAGCCGCTGCGATTGCGTTTTTCCTCCTTTTACCCCCTATGAGGTCAGTTGTTTCGCTTTAACCACAGAACAAAACACAACAAGTATGTTCTCTGAGCTTGCAGCTACACCTAAGAGCGGGGCCCCGTATGTAGCATGCTATGCATGCTCAGCAGGACAAGAAGAGCAGTCAGACGGCCACTGGTATACAGCAGAGGAATGAAAACGAAAAGAAAAAGGAAGAAATGAGAACCGAGAGGAGAATGAGGAGTAAAACAAGGAAAGCAGCCCGCTGCTGCCTACACCACACAGCGCTGCCCCTCCCCTACTACGCCTGTTTAAGGGAAATGCGACAACAAATAAACAAAATGGATCAACAAATCGAATTCATGAACTTAGCAGAAGATATAAATTATTGAATGGGGAAATTAAAACAAACTTCTCCCTCCCCCTAAGCCGGCGTACGAATGATACAGCCCCAACGCTCGTTGGGCCTGCTGTTAGCGCTGTGCGTTGCATCCGAGAAAAATATTTATTTATTTTGATTAAAATTAAAAATAAAAACCAATTAACTGCATGTAATAATGTATTAATTTCAGGAATAGAGGGAAATCAATAACATGCCCTCAAGGCTGCATACGCTTGCGACTGCCGCTGCGCGGCGTGCAGCATGCAGCAGTCGGTCTTCGTCTTTTTTTCTTTGATGTCTTCACTTTTATCAATAAAAATAATACCAGAGTTATAATAGTAGTATTTCGTAGTTTTTGTTTTTAAAACACAAAGGGCCCCAGCTGATTCTTCGCCGTTGAGGGAGAGGGGCAATGCCTCTAAGTAAATATATTATACGTGCATACTGTAAAGAGAGAGATCTTATTAGCAGAGGGCCCGTGTAAGCTGTCGTAGAATTAAAAGACTCAAGATAAGAGTTGTTTAAAAGCATATGAATCCCCGTTCTGTCGTCATGTGTACGTACTTAAAACGAAAGAAAAAGAATACTGAAACGATGAAATTTATATTTATATCGATAGAGGAGCGCTCTATATTTAAAAATATATAGTAGATTTACTAACTTCAAACGGAAAGCGGTGTATATGCCCCTCTTCCCTTTCCTCAAAACAGCACATCTCTTCCTGTAACGAAATACTCTCAGTATGAAAACTAAGAGGGTTTTTTGTCTCTATAAATCTCAAGGCTTTCATATCCTGAACGCCAACTTCATACGCGTCTGTATACATACCAGAAGCGGCGCCTCCTTAGAGGTTCTTAGCAACTTAATTACCACTACTTGGGCCCGACAAAGGAAACAGCAGCAAAACATCTTCTACTGATAAGCCTCCTCACATGATGGGGCAGCAAAGTGTTGGAACTTGTATGAAAAATAATGCCGCTGCTGATCGAGCTTAAACTCGTGTGGTTATACCTTTGCTTTAAACAAATTATATTGTAGAAAACGTCTAAAAAGGTGCTATTTATTTCTTTAGAGACCGCTGGTTTCTTGTTAATTGCCCCCTTAGCACGTCGCTGTGCAGTGCCTCCCTTTGCCACATCGCAAACTCCTTCGGGCTCATGAGCAGCGTCTATCTCTCAGCTGCAAAATAAATTTACCCAGAGTCTTAAGGGCATGATCTTAACACCTTATTAATGAAGAAAAATAATTCATACACTTAAAGGGGGTTGGCTGGGATTGCTTTCATAGACGACCCCCTATTCCTCTTCACAGCTATAATCTGCATAAAATATATTATCTGAAAGCCTTTACTAGCTGCAAATAAGTCAAAATAATTCAATTAAAGTCTCTAAGAAGGCTTACGCTAGTTCTGTTGTGCCCACAACATTAGATGATTAGATTAGATAGACATTAGATTACATTAGATTATATACTAATAGGCAAATAAATTAAAATATCTATAGTATTCACCATATAAACCTGGCGTAACTACAAAGAAAACCATAATGACAAAGTATAAATCTAGAAGGGCTTTACTCTACATTAAAAACTTAAAAAAGCTGTTATCTTTTCTACGCAAAGCCACATGCATGCACAACCAAACCCTCCTCTCTGCAGGCACTACCCTAACATTGTAGATAATATTAAAGCCCTTTCTTGCTCTTAGGCAGCTATATGCATGCAGATAGAAATGTGTCTGTACAAACTTTTTGAATAAATATGCTCTAGGTAACGAATTACCTACTACAGCAATACACCAAGCCAAGCAGGTGCAGCTGTGCTTGCACTGATATATTCAAACCATTCATCTCTTAAAGTGCTATACTCATATTTATTATTATTATTATTATTACATTTATTATTTCCTTCATTGCATTATTTTAATTGATTTAGAGTAATTAAGAGGCGACTGCAGCTCTTGAGCTGCAGCCATAAGCCCAAAGTTATTCATAGAGATGTACTCTACGAGTTATATATATATATATATATATATATATATATTGCATACATATTATGTACATTATATACTATAGATATACATATAGGTATAGATGTATAGATATAGACTGCTGTTGTGTGAGTATCTTCTGGATGTACGAAGAATTTTTTTAATAAAAAGTTGAGCGATAAACCAAATGCTGCAGCATTTAGCTCAAAACTTTCTTTCACTTTTATTCCTATGAAGGGTAATTTAAAATGAGAGAGTCTGAGGTCTGAGCTAACGAGTATCAAGAGCGGCGAAAACCCTAAACCCTAAACCCTAAACCCTAAGAAAATATCTCTACCAGCAGCTAATTGGTTTCTCCGCACTTGTTCTAAACAAATACTGCAAATAAAGTCTTCTTCATTAAGATAAAACTTTTCCTCCTAAGTGCATCAACACTGCAGAGATTTATTGTACTTCTTCGCGCATGCAGCAGGCTGATTACTACGCCCAAGACCGTATTCACTCGTTTTCTTCAGAGAGACAAATATATATATATATATATATATATATACATTAAAATATATATTGTATATATTTTTTTTAGTATAGAATGTATAATATATATATTATATATTCTACAATACATAATATATATTCCACATTATATATTGTATATTATAGAATATATAATATATTATACATTCTATATTCTATTTTATAGAATATGTAAGATATTCTATATTCTATATTCTATATTATTTATAATTTTTTTATACATTATATATTGTATAAATTATATATTATATATTATATAATATATATATTATATATTATATATTACATAGTACATATTACGTATTATATATTATATATTAATATATGCGTACACTTGCTTACAGAGGTATAAAGAAGGCGCATAGGCCGCCAACTTCGCTCATAGTTCCTCATTCTTACTAGAGTCTGAGCTTGAAGAGATTTCCTTTAGGTGTTAATACAATTTTGTGAATTATATTCTGAGAAACAAGAAAGAAAAATTAGCAGCAAAATTAATTGACTCGCTAAGGGCCCCTCACAGCACAGTCTCGGCATTAAGAGAGAGATCATATAGCTAGGGAGCTAAATTGTTTGTTTATATTTAATTTAATAATGCTAATTATAATAGTAAAAAGACAATATATAAGGAGCAAACAAGCAGTGCAGCTTGGAAGGATTGCGGCTCTGTCGGCCGCCGTTGCTGTTGCTGTTGCTGCTGCTGTTGCTGCTGCTGCTGCTGCTTGGAGCAGTAGCAGCAAAGTGCATGCGCGTGACTCTCCTTGTTCACTTAATTGAGCTTTTCACCTTCATCTCCGAGTCAAAATAGGCCTTCTCTGCCTCTAGTATTAACCAACAACAGCAGCAGCAGCAGCAGCAGCAGCAGCGGCTGGAGCAGCAGCCGCCGCTGCCGCTGCTGCTACTATTGCTGCTGTCCTATTAGCCTCTCATTAGCACTAGCAGTTGGATGTCTCCTCCTTTTTTGAGGCTTGACGAGAGCTAAACATCTTCCAGCCGTAGGCTTGATAAGGAAAGAGAGCGGCGCATGCGCAGCAGCAGCTGCAGCAGCAGCAGCAGCAGCGGAGCCTTGCTGCTGCCCCGGCCCCCTTATGGGCCCCGACAGCTTCATGGGTGAGAAGCAGTCAAAGAGAAGACGCCTAAGAGGGATGGGGCCACCAGGGCTGTAAGCAACCCCCAGCTCGCAACCACCGGCCGCAGCGGCAGCAGCAGCAGCAGCAGCAGCAGCAGGAGCGTGTTGCAGATGGGTGAGGTTGCGGACGTGGCGGACTTGAGGTGCGGCAGCACCGTCACCTTCCCTGCTGCTTCTCCTTCTGCTGTTGCTGCCTCGCCAGCAGCAGCGAGAACAAGCGCAGCAGCAGCAGCAGTACCCGGACCAGCAGCAGCAGCAGCAGCAGGTTGCGCAGCAGATGGAGGGGAGGAGACGTGGCACTTTGTGGTGCAGTCTTCTCACAGCACCTTCATTCTTTCTGTCTGCCCTAGGGGCCCCTCCCCGCTCTTTATTCAGGTGTATAGGCAGCTGGGGGCCCTAAGGGAGGCTGTAGCTGCTGCTGCAGTGCCGTTGTCTTTCCCTGTAGCAGCAGCAGCAGCAAAACGGACGCCACCTCTGACGGAAGAAGAAGGAGCAGCAGTTACACTGCCTTCAGCAGCAGGAGAATTGCAATATGCTTCAGCAGCATCGTCTGCAGCCTCAGCAGCAACAGCTGCAGCAGCCGCAGCAGCGGCAGCAGGGAAGGGTAAAGAGGAATTCTGCTGTCTGGAGAGCATAAGAGGCCTTACCAGGGCCCCCCACGTCTTCTCCTGGGCAGGCGATGCTGCTGCGTGGCTGGAGACTACTCCTGCTGCTGCTGGTGCTGCTGCTGCTGAGGCTCAGCACGCGCTCACTCCCCCTTGCCGCAGGCCTGCTGCTGCTGCTGCTGCGCTGCTGCTGCTCGGGCAAAGCTCCTCGCCCTTGGCGAGCCATACACAGTTGCTGCTCGTCACGTTGCAGCAGCAGCAACACCAGCAGCAGCAGCAGGAGCAACGGCAGCAACAGCAGCAAGCGGCGCAACTGGCGCTGCTGCCTGTACATGTACTGGGAGCGGAAAGAAGCAGCACCAGCACTGAAGCTACCACAGCCGATCAGTACCTGAGCAGCAGCAGCAGCAACAGCAGCAGCAGCAGCATATCAGTTGTAGATGCGAAGGAGTTTGTAGGGTGGTCTGCCGTGGCCTGCGGCGGCCACGGAAGCAGTTGGGCGGGGCAGCACGCAGCAGCAGCAGCAGCAGCAGCAGCCGCAGCAGCAGCAGCAGTAGCGGGAGCTGATTCAGGAGCCGCAGCAACAGCAGCAGCAGCAGCAGCAGCAGCAGAGGCTTTGCTTGGTGGGTGTCCTTGGGTATTTGTTTTTGGGGGGCAGTGCCGCGACGCCTTCGGCCGATGGAGCTTCAACCCTGATGCCTTTTTGCTGCTGCCTGTACACCGCAGTGTGCTGCGCCCAGCAGCAGCAGCAGCAGCAGCAGCAGCACAAGAACAAGCAGAAGCCCCAACACACAACTCCCCTGCTTCTGCAGCGCCCCTGCACTCTGATGCTCCTGCTGATGCTGCGGAAGATGTAGCCTTGCCAGCCTCTGCCGCAGCAGCAGCAGCAGCAGGAGCAGCAGCAGGCAACACAGCAGCAGCAACTCAGGGGTGGACGTGGGTTGGGTTGGGGCGAGACGTAGGAGGCACGCTGCTGCAGCGCTCTGGTGGTGCTGCTGCTGCTGTCAGCATTGGCAGCAAAGCGGAGCTGCTGCTGCTGAACGGGGGCAGCATCGTTGCACAGCAGCAGCAGCAGCAGCAACAACAGCAGCAACAGCAACATCAGCAGCAGCGCGGCAGCTCCAAGTTTAATCAGAATATGCAGTGCGTGCTCACCGATACAACTGTGGCGTTGTTGCTGTCGCTGCGAAGCGCAGCAGCAGCAGCAGCACCGGCAGCAGCAGGAGCAGCAGCAGGAGCAGCAGTAGATGTTCTGCCTCTCCTTGAGACTCAGGAGTTAAAGCTGGTTATGTCGGGGCCACTGCCTGCGGCTCGAATGGGGTGAGGAGAGCCTACTTTACGCTGCTGCTGCTGCTGCTTCGCTTACTGCTGCTGTTACTGCTGCTGCTGCTGCTGCTGCTGCTAGCAGGAGCAATCGCAGCTACTTTCGAAAGGGGTAGCAGCTGTTGCTGCTGCCACTTTGAGTTGCTGCTGCAATCTGCTGCTCATCCGGTGCTTTGGGTGTACCGGCGTTGCGCTGTGCGTTCAACCTCCCGTCTCTGCTGCTTCTGCTGCTGCTGCTGCTGCTGCTGCTGCGCAGGCACTCGATGACGGCCTTGCGGCGATGCGGCGGAGGCTGCAGCTTTTTTATTTTCGGTGGAGTTGGCGCTGAAGGGAGGCCCCTCACAGACGTATGGGAACTCCGGCTGTCTATACACCCGGACAGCAGCAGCAGCAGCAGCAGCAGCAGCGGACTGCTGGTGTGTAGAGGACAGTGGCAGCAGCTAAACGTAGACGGCGGAGGTGTTGCAAGGCCGCTCACGGAAACAGCTTCGCTGCAGCAGGACAGGAAGCAACGGCAGCAGCAGCAGCAGCAGAAGACGCTGCAGCTGCAGCTGACTCCAAAGGCCAGCAGAAGAAGTAATACGAGTGCCACTGACAGTAGCAGCTGCAGCAGCAGCAGCAGCAGCACATATGCTTTGCAGCCTCTTATGTTTCCTTCTCTAGCGGCATTCGAAGCCCACAGCTGTTCGTGTGCTGCGCCGTCGGCGCTCCCGTTGCAGCAGCAGCAGCAGCAGCAGCAGCAGGTACAGGTACAGCCTTTTCCCAATGGCGCAGCAACGGATAACAGCTGCTGCAGCTGCTGCAGCTGCTGCGGCTGCTGCAGCTGCTGTGCAGCAACCAGCGGCATTTCGTCAATGTGCTGCTGCTCTCAGCAGGCGGAGGCCCACCGCAGCAGCAGCAGCTGCAGCAGCTGCAACAGCAGCAGCAGCAGCAGCAGCAGTGCTGATGTGAGTCTGCGCATGCCGAGCCACCATTGGATGCTGTTTATTTGCGGAGGCTTCAGGGTTCCTGCTGCTGCTGCTGGTGTTGCTGCTGTTGCTGCTGCCAGCCAACGCCGTCCTTCCCCGCGAGCTGCGCATACGGCAGCAGCAGCAGCTGCAGCAGCTGACAGCAGCGCAGCAGCAGCAGCTAAAAGCCCGCATAGGGAAGGCAGCGTCGCCAGGAAGGGCTCCGTGCTGCGGCGGTGTAGATCTGTGGGGCGCAGGACCTTCATCTGTCTCTGTTTCAATCAGCAGCAGCAGGAGCAGCAGCAGGTAGGCTGGCTGCAGCAGCAGCTCCTGCAGCATGAGCTGCAGCCGCTGCTGCTACAACCGAGGCAGCTTCTGCAGCAGAAAAAGAAAGTGCCGCTGTATGGGGACTCCGCCAAATGCCTCAAGCAGCACAGCAATGCCGATGCTGCTGCTGCTGTTGCTGCCGCTGACAGGGAAGCAGCAGCAGCTGCAGCAGCACCAGGACCAGCACTAGAAGCAGAAGCAGCTACAGAAGCACCTGTCTGTAGTGGGAACCATCTTGCGAGTGGCCCTACAGCACGCCTAAGCAGCAGCAGCAGCAGCAGCAGCAGCAGCAGTGACGGCGGTGCCCGTTTGGAGGGCCAGGCAGCAAACGTTGGTGCTGTAAGCAACAACAGCAGCAGCGGCGGCAGCAACAGCAGCGGCAACGACAACAACAGCAACAGCGACAGCAACAGCAGCAGCGCTGATAGACGCAGCAGCAATGATAGCAACAGAGACAGCCGCAGCAGCAGCAAGGACAGCCACTACAGCAACAGAGACAGCAGCGGCAGCAGCAAGGACAGCCGCAGCAGCAGCGAGGATAGCCGCAGCAGCAGCGAAGAGAGCCGCAGCAGCAGGAACGAGAACAGCAGCAACAGCACCGACAGCAGCAACAACAACGGGCCCAGCAAGAGTAACGGCAGCAGCAACCACAGCAGCAACCCTAGAGACTGCAGCAGCCGCAGCAGCAGCAGCAGCAGCAGCAAACAGACTACCACCGCGCCCTTTGACCTCTGGTCTATCGGCAGTGGCAGAGGAGATGGGGAGACTGAAGACGGCGAGTTGCTTCCCTGTGCTGCAGAAGACCCTCCTGCTGCTGCTGCTGCTGCTGCTGCAGCAAGAGCAGCAAACTCAGAAACGGCTAACCACGTAGCAGCTTCAATGACGGCTGTTCCTGGTGCTGCACCGGCCAGGCAGCAGGGAGAGACGCATGGAGGCGCCGCTGCTGCTGCTGCTGCCTTGCCACGGCAGCAGCAACAGCAGCAACAGCAGCAGCAACAGCAGCAGCAGGGAGGGGGGGGAGGACGCATGGCGTCTGTATTGGAGCGGCTGCGGAAGAAGCTGCGCGACAAACCGTCAGGAGCAGCAGCAGAAACAGCAGCAGCAGCAGAAGCAACAACAAGAGCGGCAGTAGCAGCAGGCGGTGCAATATGGGGTTCTATGGCGACTTCAGGCGGCGCAGCAACAGCAGCAACAGCAGCAACAGCAGCACCAGCAGCACAGGGTAGGCCTGGAGGCAGTGCTGCAGATGCTAGCTCGCCAGATACACCAGCAGGACAAGAAGCAGAAGCAGCAGCAGCAGATGCAGACGCTCTGGGAGCCGGCAATGGGGGATCTTCTTTGCTGCAGCTGCTGCACAGCAACCCTTCTTGGCCTCATGCTGCTGCATGTGCTGCAGCAGCAGGGGCAGCAGCAGCAGAAGCCGGAGTGCCAGAAGCAGCAACGCCTACAGCAACAACAACAGCAACAACAGCAGCAACAGCACATGCAGGGGGTAAGATGGCCACACCAGAAGCTGAGAAGCCTGGAGAGCCGCCGGGTTTGCTGCAGAAGCCCCCCAGCAGCAGCAGCAGCAGCGGGAGATTGAGTTTCAGGCTTCAGAAGAGTCCTGCTGCAGCGCAACACATTCGCCGCTGCAAGGCGCTGCTGCTGGAGGAGTTAGAAGAGGGCCAGGAGTTGGTGCTGCCACCTGAGTGGCAGCGGCAACTGCAGCAGCAGCTGCAGCAGCTGCAGCAGCAACAGCAGCAGCAGCAGCTAATGCGCCCCCCACCGCCCCAGTGGGCACCAGCTCCAAAAGCTCCCCAGCAGCACACGTGGCAGCAGCAGCAGCAGCAGCAGCACCAGAAGCAGCAGCAGCAGCAGTCGCATCACCGGCACCCGCAGCAACTGCAGCAGCCGCAGCAACTGCAGCAGCAGCAGCAGCAGCCGCAGCAGCAGCTGCATCACCGCCAGCCGCAGCATGTGCAGCAACAGCAGCAGCTGCATCACCGGCAGCCGCAACAAGCGCAGCAGCAACAACACCAGCAGCAGCTGCATCACCGTAAACCGCACCAGCTGCAGCAGCATATGCAGTCAATACAGCAGCATCCACAGCAACCGCAGATGCAGCAGCAACAGCAGCAGCAGCAGCAACAGCTGCAGCCTTGGCAGCAGCAACAAGACCCTCAAGCTGGCCGCTTCTTTCTTGAGATCCCTCCGCCTCCGGGCCTGCAGCAACTGCAGCAGCTGCTACCAGCTTCGCATCCCGCCGCCGCTGCAGCAGCAGCAGCCGCAGCAGCAGCAGCAGCAGAAGCCGCAGATAGCCACCGTCTGCCCACTGGCCCCTCAGCTCCTGCTGCAGTGCATGCAGCGGTTGCTGCTGCTGCTGCTGCAGCCGCTGCTGCTGCTTCTATGCCAGCTGCTCCACCCGCCTCGAACTGGTTTAGCTGCCCTATGCAGCAGCAGCAGCAGCAGCTGCTTTTTCCTACTCCTCAGCAGCAGCAGCAGCAACAACAACAAGTTCTTCTGACGCCTCAGCAACAGCAACAACAGCAGCAGCACTTGCCCCAACAGCAAGGCCAGCAGCAACGGAACCAACAGCAGAGGCGGCTACCTATGCCTCAACAGCAGCAGCAGCAGCAGCAACAACAACAAATGCACCAGCAGGTACAGCCCCAGCACCAGAAAGCCTATCAGCAACAAATGCAGCAGCAGCAAATACAGCAGCAGCAGCAGATCCATCCGCATCAGCAACAAGTGCAGCCGCAACAGCAACGCCAGCAGCAGCAACAGCAGCAGCCACGTGAGGAGACAGCGGGGAGTTCCCAGTCATTGAGGCCTCCCTGGAGGCGAATGCAGTTGGCTCAGCACCCCACTGAGTTGCTGCAGCAGCAGCAGAAAGCTGTTGCTGCTGCTTCGGGAGGAGCACCAGCAATTGCTGCTGCTGCTGCTGGTGCTGCTAGCGGACAGCAACACAGCAGCTCCTTGCTGCTTCCAGTACCGCCGCCCCCTCCTGCGTTGGCGGCAGCCTTGCTGCACCACCGCCAGCTCTCTAGCAGCAGCTGCGAGGCAGAGCAGCAGCAGCAGCAGCAGCAGCAGCAGAAGCAGAGGCAGAAGGTGCCTGTGAACATAAGACTACTGCTGCAGAAGGGCCATGCGCTGCTGCTGCAGCTGGCAGCAGAGGCTCGCCTAGATGGTGACGCCTTTCTTAAAGAGTTCTGCTGCTTCTGGGGCAGCCGCACAAGCAGCAGCAGCAGCAGCAGTAGCAGCAGCAGCAGACAAGGTAGGAGCACGAGCCGCAAAGACAGCAGCGCGAATACTGCTGCTGCAGCGCTTCAGTTGGGGCTGCCGGGTAGCAGCAACTCAGGCGTATTGGATGAATGCAGCAGCTGCAGCAGCAGGAGCAGCAGACACAGCAGCAGCAGCGGCAGCAGCGGCAGCACCGGAAGCAGCAGCGGCAGCAGCAGCAAGCGCGCCAGCGGGAGGAGCAAGAAACAGAGACGCAGGAGCAGCAGCGGCAGCCTCAGCAGCAAAAGCATGCACAGCAGCCGCAGCAGCATCAGCAGAAGACGCAACAGCAGCAGCACCAAATGCGCCGGAGCTCGCCTCTCACGACACAAACAGAGCAGCAGGAAGCATCTGTCTTCTAGGAGAAGCAGAAAGAGCAGCAGCAGCAGCAGCAGCAGCAACAGCAGCAGCAGCAGTCCCGCGAGGCGTGCAGCAGCTGATAGAAGGGGCCGCAGCGCGTCCGTCTCTCGCAGGAAGCATCAGAACCGCAGCAGCAGCAACAGCAGCAACAGCAGCAGCAGCAGGAGGAGGAAAAGCAGCAGCAGCAGCAGCAAACGGCACAGACGACACCGGAAGAGTAAAAGCAATCGAAGCCGCTGCAGCTCGCAGGTTCATTCCAGGGGGCGGCGGCAGCAGCAGCAGCAGCAGCAGCAGCAGCACAAGCACCAATTTCAGACGCGGAAGGAGCAAGAGGACTTGTTGGCCTTCCCGCAGCTGCAGCAGCAGCAACAGCAGCAAGAGCAGCAAGAGCAGCAGCAGCAGCTTCTGCTGCACCCTCTGCTGCCTCAGCCTTTTGCAGAAGCTACAAGGCACTTGGCTACCCCAGAAGCGTCAGCGCAGCTTGCTGCTGCTTTCCCTCCACCTGCTGCTGCTGCTGCTGCTGCTGCTGCTGCTGCAGCAGCAGCATCTGAAGGGAGGGGAATGAGGGGCTCTGTCTCTCTCTCTGATATCCCGTTGAACGGACTCCAAGAAGAAAGAAAGCATCACTTGAAGCAGGAGGAGCAGCAGCAACTGGTGTCTCCCAGCAGCAGCAGCAGCAGCAGAAGTAGCAGCGGCAGCAGGAGCAGCAGCAGCAGCAGCAGCAAGAGGATAAAGAGCCTCAAAAGAGGAAGAAGAAATAAGGGGGCTTCAAGGCGACAAACATCGCTAAAAAAACAAAATAAAAGAAGAAGACTCGATGGGCAAAAATCAAATGCAAAGCGCATGCACCGCTCGCGGAGGATCCGCAGCAGCAGCAGCAGCAGCAGCAGCAGCATCAGAAGCAGCAGCAGCAGAAGCAAGGGCGGCAGAAGCGGCAAGCGACCCAGAAGCAGAGGCAGCAAGCGACACATAAGTAGCAGCAGCAAGCGGATAGGCCGCACCAGCAGCAAGCGGCCAAGCAGCAGCATCAGCAAGCGGCCAAGCAGCAGCATCAGCAAGCGGCCAAGCAGCAGCAGCAGCAGCAGCAAGCAGCTTAGCAGCAGCAGCAGCAGCAGCAAGCTTCTCAGCAGCAGAAGGATTCCGCATCCGCAACTGAGCCCCCAGGTGCTGCACCGCCGAAACCGGCGCAGCAGCAGCAGGCACAGCAGTAGCAGCAGAAGCAGCAGCAGAAGCAGCAGCAGCATAAGCCGCAGCAGAAGAGGCAGCGGCAACGGAACCAGCAGCCGCGCGCTGCAGCAGTACAATAACATCGCAGACCCGGTTATAAAACGCAGCAGCCGCAGCGGCTCCCGCAGCAGCCTAGCGAGCAGCAGCAACAGCAGCAACAGCAGCAACAGCAGCAGCAACGGGGTATATCCACACAGCGAAATTGGCGGAGGTGAGCAGCTGCAGCAGCACAGGCTGCGGCAGCTGCTGCAGCTTCGCCGGCAGCAGCAAGAACATCAGAGACAGCAGGAGCAGCAGAGACAGCAATGGCAGCAGCTGCAGCAGCAACAGCAGCAGCAGCATCAGCAGCAAATGGCCGCAGGGCAGCAGCTCGAGGGCCCACCGCTTCTGATGCATGCAGCAGAGACGCACTTTCCCCTGCCGCAGCAGCAGCAGCTGCTGCGGCTGGCGGAGAATTACCCGCACCATTACACGTATGAGCAGCAGGAGCAGCAGCAGCAACATCAGCAGGAACAGGAGCAGCTCCAGCAGCAGCAGCAGCAGCAGCAAGAGCTGCTCAAGCAGCAGCTGCAGGTGCAGCAGCTCGCTGAACGCATGGGGCGTCTTAGGAGGGAGAAGATCCGGCAGAGGTGGCAGCAGCGCCTCACAAAGGCATTTGAAGGCTCTGCTGCTGCTTCTGCTGCAGCTGCTTCTGCTGCTGCTGCTCCTGACATGCTGGACAGTCCGCCGCTGCCCCCAGAAAGCAGCTCCGAGGCTTCGGTGAAATCTGAATTGAATTCACGCGTCCCTTCTGCTGCTGCTGCTGCTGCTGGTTCTGCTGCTGGTGCTGCTGCAGCTGTTGCAGCCCAAGGGTCGCACCTGTACCCCTCGGCAGCACCTGCTGCTGTTGCTGCAGCTCCTGCTGTTGGTGCTGCTGCTGCTGCTGATGCAGCGACAGAAGTGGATGAAATGCTGGCATACTTCGATGCGCTGCAGCAAGCAGGCGTGGTTCCTGCTGCTGACGAGCCGATACTAGACCTGCAGCAGCAGGAGCAGCAGGAGCAGCAGCAGGATCCATGCATGCTTGCTGCTGTTGCTGCTGCAGCAGACTCCTTACAGGAAAGCAACTCTTCTTTTCTGTTGCACCAAACGGAGACACCCCACGAGCAACTGCAGCACGAAGAGCAGCAGCAGCAGCAGCAGCAGCAAAGTGATGCCGGGCTTCCATCAGCAGTAACAGCACCGGGAGCAGCAGAACCTGCCGCAGCAGAAGTTGCAGCAGCAGCAGCAACAGCTGCTGCTGCTGCTGCTATGCCTGTCAGGGGGGCAGACGCCTCATCTCTCGCCAGCGACAGCCCGACAACGGCAGACAGCCAATGCGAAACAACAGCAGCAACAGCAACAGCAACAGCAACAGCAGCAGCAACAGCAGCAACGGCAGCAACAGCAGCAACGGCAGCAGCAGACCTCAGCCAGTCGGATACACTGCTTTCCCTTACAGCTGCACGCAACACACCTGATGCTGCTGTTGCTGCTGCTGCTGCCTCTGCTGCTGGCAACGAGACTACGGATGGCGCAGGGCATAGTATCCTTCCGCAAGAATGCTCCTCTAGCAGCAGCAGCAACAGCAGCAGCAACAGCAGCAGCAACAGCGAGAGCAGCAGCAGCAACAGCGAGAGCAGCAGCAGCAGCAGCAACAGCAGCAGCAACAGCAATGGCTTGCTGCTGCAGTCAGCGCTGCTAGCGGCACCACCTACGAAGCCAACGGGTTTCCTTCGTATGCTGCGGGGCCTCAAGGAGAGAGCTGGCCGCTGCTGAGGGATGCAGTTCGCTGCTGCTTGCATGCAGTTTGCTGCTGCTTGCATGCAGTTTGCTGCTGTTTGCATGCATTTTGCTGCTGCTTGCATGCGGTTTGCTGCTGCTTGGATGCAAACATAAAATGCAGGCAAGCAGCAGCAAACTGCATGCAAGCAGCAGCATACTGAGCAGCAGCAGCAGCTGCTGCTGCACCAGAAGCAGCATCAGCAGCAGCAGCTGCTGCTGCTGCTGCTGTTGCTGCTGAGGGGCTGGGAGGCATTGGGGGATTTTTTTTCTGCGTGTGAAGTCATAGAAACGTAAAATAAAAATATAAATTAAAACCCTTTGTTTTATTATTATTTATGTATATATACTATTATATATATATATATATATATACATATACATATATATATTTGTTTATTTATTTATTTACTCATTTTATTTATTATTTTGTTTAATATATGCCAGCATTCCTAACCAGCGAAACTACTATATATATAAATATGTCTGTTTATATATATATATATATCTGTGTATACAGATATATATATATATATATACATATATATATATATATATCTGTATATATATATATCTGTATATATGTATATATATAAGCAAAATCTATTACTTGTATAACGCCTCTATTACATTATTATTATTATTAAATATTAATAACGAAAGTAATATATAAACAAACAAAATATATTACTTGTATAATATCGAGGCTATTGTTATTACATTAATAATATCGTTATTATTACTACTATAATTATTATTTAATATTTTTATTATTATATTGTTATTAGTAAATAATAATATTATTATTATGTAATATTATGTTTAAGTTTAATTGTTGTTATTACTAATTATCATCGTTAAAGATATTTAATATTATTTCTGCTGCCGTTAGTACTATTAATATTATGGTTGTTAGTATAATATAATATTATTATTATTATTATTATATAATATTATTTATTTATTTATTTACTTATTTATTTAATATTATTTTTAAGAGACAACAAAACGAATACAGCCGAAACCCACAGCAAAGGAAGGGCTGCTGTTGAGAGAAGTGCGGCATTTTAAGTAATAAATAAATAAAAATAAATAAAATAAATAACAAACAAATAAATTAAATAAATAACAGCAATATTAAACGGCAGCAGCAGCAGCAGCAGGAGCAGTATCGCGTACTACCTACCGTCCAGGGAGAACAGCAGCAGCAGCAGCAGCAGCAGCAGGAGCTGCTGCTTGCTGCGGGGCCGCTCACTGCTGTTAAGACAGCGGTTTCTCTGTCTAAGGCTGAGTTTAAGAAAACAAAAGAAGAGAATATTATTGTTAAATTAAATTTTGTTTTAATTTGTTTCCTGTCTTGTTCTTTTGTTTTGTCTAGCTCTACTATGCGTCCCTCTCCCCTCTCGATGCCCTGCAGCAGCAGCAGCAGCAGCAGCAGCGGCAGCAGCAGCAAGAAATGCGCATAGCGTAATTATGCTAGTAGAATTGTTAAGGGTTTTATTTTGTTTCTCCGCTGCACTTTGCTGGAAGTTTTTATTTAATTTGTTTATATTACAGTTGCTGCTAACATTAAAATAGGAAAGAACAATCACAGGCTACAGACGTTCGACGAGGCGAGTCCTCGCTGCTGCTGCTGCTGCTGCTGCTGCTGCTGCTGCAGCTGCAGCATGAGGGGGACTGTAGAGAGTTTGATTGGACGAGGTTTGTTTGTTTTTTCCTTTTTTCTTTGTTTGTTTTTGTTTAAAGAGATTCTTTTCTGGTTTTGAACAGCATAATTGTCTTGTCTTTTCTGCTGTTTGCTGCAGCGCTAAGATCGACATTGCTGCGGTGTACAGGCACCTCAGGTGTATATACAGTTGGGTTTTTCTCCTCCTTTTTACCTCTTATTTATATCTTTTTGCTGTTTTTTTGTTGCCTTTGACGGCTGCAAAGACGCTAAAACTCTTCTTTGTCTTCATTTTCTTTTTTTACTCTCCTTTTGGACATGCTGCTCTTACCCTGAACAGCGTGCGCCTCCCAGCAGCAGCAGCAGCAGCAGCAACAGCAGCAGCAGCAGCAGCAGCAGTAGCGGGAGACAGCTGCGTGCGTCTCTTGAGGTTGCAATCTCTTGGCTTTATTTTTGTTTTTTTAATTCTTTTTGCATGCAAATGATGTCGAAGGGGACGGGGGGGTCGAGGCCCTCCAGCAGCAGCAGCAGCAGCAGCAGGAGTAGCAGCAGCAGCAGCAGCTACAGGCCTTCTTCGTCTATGGGGTTTATCGATGTCGCATTCGCCGGCTCTGCTGCTCCATCTGCAGCAGCAGCCGCAGCAGCAGCAGCCTCAGCAGCAGGAGCTGCGGGAGGCAGCAGCAGCGACGCAGACAGCCTCGAGCTGCAGCAGCTGCAGCAAGAAACAGCAGCAGATATCCCCTCTCTCTCTTTGCAGCACTTTACTCACGCTTCTCTGCACAGCGAAGACGAACAGCCAAGCAGCAGCAGAAGCAGCTGCAGGGAGAGCAGCAGGCGCAGGAGCGCCAGCACCGACTGCAGCAGCAACAGCAGCAGCAGCAGCAGCAAGAAGGCAGGATTGAGATTTGCTGTAGACGGACTGATCTCAAAGCGCAGCGGGAAGTGTACAGACGGCTGTGGTGATGAAGCTGGCTGCAGCAGCAGCTGCTGCTTCTTCTCTCCTGCTGCTAGACCCACTTCTTGCTGCTCTCTGCTGCTGTCTCTCTTTCGACTGCGCAGCAGCAGCAGCAGCAGCGGAATGAGAAGGCCTTCTCCCTGGCTGCTGGTGTGGGGTCGCGGTTTGCTGCTGCTGCTGGCAGCTGTAGCAGTTGCTGCTCTCTCCCAGCTCGCCTTAGGCCCCCTATACAGACGGCAGCAGGAGCAGCAGCAGGAGCAGCAGCAGCAGCAGCAGCAGCAGGTGCTGCTGGTAAACGGAACTCAGTGGACGCCTTATCAGCTGGGGAGCGACGTGATGCTGCTGCTGCTGGTGCTGCTGAGCTGCTGGAGGTGGAAGCAGCTGCAGCAGGAGCTGCGTGCTGCAGTGTTGCTGCGCTTTGCTTCTTGTTTGTTGTTTGGTTTGGTGCTGCGCTTGCTGCTGTCTCTCTCCTTGAGCGAGGTGTACATGCACCGGGGCGCAGCCGTGCTGCTGCAGCACCCCAGCACAAGCAGCAGCAGCGTTGAGAGTTTGCTGCTGGCTTTGAGGTTTGTGTTTGGCTGCTGCCTACCCTCAAACGTAGATGCTGCTCCTTCCTTCAGCTGTATGTTAGTTGTTCAGTTGTTTATTTTCGGGTGTACGTACAGCTCTTGCTGGGGGCCTCCGCTGCAGCTGCTGCAGCTGCTGCAGCTGCTGCTGATTACTGCTGCGTCTGCTGCCAGCTGCTTCTGCAGCGTGTGGGGAGGGATCCGCTCCTCATTTGAGTGGCTGCTGGCCTTTGCTGTTGCTGCTTGCTGCTGCTGCTGCTATCATTTGCTGCTATATGCAGCAACAAACTCTCTGTTCACCAGGCTGAGAGCGCAGCTGCAGACGAAGGAGTATGCACAGCAACAGCAGCTGTTGCAGCAGCTGCAGCAGCAGCAGCAGGACCATCACGTGGTCGTGCTGCAGCACATTCCACAGCAGCAGCACAAGAAAAAGAAGAAGCATACATCAGCAGCAAAAGAAGCAGCAGCCATGACACCAACAGCAACAACAGCAACGACAGCAGCAGCAGCTTCTTCTGCTGCTGCTGCTGCTGCTGCTGGTTTCTGGTTTAGTTTGTTGCGGGGTCTCTACAGGCTTGTGCTGCACTTGGAGGCAGCAAAGGAGAGGGTTTTATATTGTTTGCTGCCGCCTCAAGCCAGCATGCTGCAGCGCAGCTGCAGCGCGACGCCGCTGCGGCAGCAGCAGCAGCAGCTGCAGCACAAGCTGCACCGTCTTCAATCCGATGAGGGTCTTCCAGTTGCTAAGCGCCTCCCCTTCGCCTCTGCAGCAGCAGCAGCAGCAGCAGCAGGAGAGGAGGAGCAGCAGATGCTAGAGGACCAGCAGCTGCTGCAAGCAATATCTCGGTGCTGTTTTGTACAGGGTGCAGCAGCAGCAGCAGCAGGTGTGAGGTTTCAAAGGGGCTTGGGGTGTATGTACACCTGCAGCGACGAAGAAGAAGCTGCAGCGGCGCCGAACGCAGCAGCAACAGCGCTGTAGACCCCAGTTGCTGCAGCAGCAGCAGCAGCAGCATCAGCAGCAGCATCAGCAGCAGCAGGCGATGACGTACAGATGCAGACAGCTGCTGCAGTATGTACAGAATTTATGTTTTAGGTTTGCAGCAGCAGGAGCTGCTGCGCCTGCTGCTTCCGAAGTCCAGCAGCAGCAGCAGCAGCAGCAGGAAGTAAAGAAAAATGTAAAGCAAATTAAGGGGGGATAGTGCGCGACAGCAGGTCCTGCTGCTGCTGCTGCTGCTGCTGCTGAGTGGAGAGACTGTACAGAGACAGAGAGAGGGGGCGGCGGACGCATGAAGGCGCCGCAGCAACAGCAGCAGCAGCAGCAGCAGCAGCGATTATTGCTGCAGCAGGCAGCCCCCCTCCGTTGACGAAGCTGCTGCTGTGAGCAGTGCTACAGCAGCAGCAGGAAGAAGTTTGTATATACTTTTTGTTAGAGTGCATGCGTTTACTTTTAAGAAAGAAAAAAAAAGAGTTGCGGTTTACTTGGTTTGGGTTTTTATCGTCTATGCGCCAGCAGAAGGCAGAGACAAACAAATAACAAAAATGTAGACAAACAAACACCTGCATGTACACCCCAGATACCTGCATGTACACCTCAACAAGGTGTATGTACACCTTATTCAGGTGTATATACACCCCAATTCAGGTGTATGTTCAGCCCATTGAGGTGTATGTACAGCGCAACCACCTGCATGTACACCCCAAAAAGGTGTATGTAGACCCCTTCCAGGTGTATGTAGATTACATTCAGGTGTATGTACACCCCATTTAGGTGTATGTACACCTCAGGAAGGTGTACATACACCCGAACTGAGGTGTATGTACACCGCATTGAGGTGTATATAAGGCCGAGCTGAGTGCACATGCATGCATAACTGCAAGTTAACTCAGCGAAGATTAGCAGATTCATATATTGACTTCACTTAGGTGTATATACACCGAAATGAAGTGTACATACACCTGAATGACGTGTATATACACCTCATTCAGCTGTACATACACCTAAATGAGGTGTACATACACCTGAACAAGGTGTACATACACCTGAATTGGGGTGTAGTGTTGCAGTGTATGCGCAGCTGGCTGTGATGTTTGCTTTGCGGTGTATTGCCGGCTATGAACTTCAGTTAAATTAAATTTTATGTAAATCTTTTGTTTTTATTTACGCGGACGTAAAACACAGCAGCTCCTCTCGCTAGGAAGACAGACTAACAGCAAATAAAACTGCAGCAGCAGTAGCAGCAGCAACAGCAGCAGCTACAGCAGCATCAGAGCAGATGCAGCAAAACGCTGCAGCAGGTAGAGATGCTACGATTGTTCAGCGGTGGCAGTATGCTGCTGCTGCTGTTGCTGCTGCTGCACAAGAGCGCTGCGAAGAACGGGTGCTGCTGCTGCTGCTGCTGCTGCCGGAGCAGCAGCAGCACCAGCAAGAACAGCTTGCAGCCCTCATCCGCTGACTGCTTCTCTCAACCCTTCTGCTGCAGCAATGCGAGACAATCTGCAGCAGCAGCAACAACAGCAGCAAGAACAGCAGCAGCAACAGTAGCAGCAGCAGGATCAGTAAAGTAGCAGCAGCAACAGCAGCAACAACAGCAATAGCAGCAGCAATGTCATCAGTAGCTGCATCACGACAGCAACAAGTACACAAGCAGCAACAGCAGCAGAGCAGCAGCAGCAGCAGTAGCAATCGAGACCCACCGGCAATTTGCTGCGCCGTAGCAGCAGAGTTCGCCTGCTGCAGCAGCAGCAGCAACAGCCGCTGACACGCTGCAGCAGCTGCTCCGCTGCTGCAGCCATCTTGCGAAATCGCTGCTGCAGATGCATCTGCTGCTGCTGCATCTGCTGCTGCTGCTGCTCCAGGTTGGAGGGAGCCGCAGCAGCTGTTCTTGTCTTTGCTGCTGCTCAGGAAGGCAAGCCTGAGCAGACAGGCTACCTTCTGTCGCTCTGCTGAGCTCAGCTGTATCTGCTGCTGGTGCTGCTGGTGCTGCTGCTGCTGGTCAGAGGTGATGGCTATGGAGTGCAGTAGCAGCAGCAGCTGCTCATTGCCTCGTTGTCGTTGCTGCAGCAGCGCAGCAGCAACGCCTGAAGCAAACTGCTGCTGAGGGTTCCGCTGCAATGCTGCAGCAAACAATAAACACAAACCACAGAGTATAGATATGCAACAGCAGCAACAGCAGGAGCAACAATAGCAGCAACAGCAGCAGCAGCAATACAATACACTCGCTAGCAATACAAAGAGCACCAGCAGCAGGGGGCAGACAAACACAGCAAAGAATACTAGCACAAGAAGAGCAGCAGCACGAGCAGCAGCAGCAACAGCAGACGCAGCAATAAGACGAAGAACAGAAGCAGCCGCAAGAGCAGCAGGAGCACCAAGAGCAGCAGCAGCAGCAGCAGCAGCAGCAGCAGCAGCAGCTTCCCCTGTGCCCCACCGTTGGTGAGAGCTGCTGCAGTTGTTTTGGGGTGTAGCAGCAGCATCTGAGGCAGCGCCAACAGGACGACTTGCTGCAGCTTTGCAGCAGCTGCTGCTGCTTCTTGCTGCTGCTGTTGCTGTTGCAGCAGCTGTTGCTGCAGCAGCAGCTGCTGCTGTTGCGGCTGGGCCAGAGGCCTGCTGCAGCAGCAAGACAGCGCCACAGCAGCAGCAAAGAGAGGAGCAGCAGCAGCAAACATATGCCTGCTGCAGATATAATGTCTTATAAACTGGCAGAGCTCATCAGCAAACGGCAGCAGAATTGCTGCTGCTGCTGCTGCTGCTAGCTGCGCATACACCTCAATAGTATCACACACTGCCTGTACTGCTGCTCTCTCCCCGTCTAGCAGCTGCAGGCCTACAGAGGCATTGCCCTCGTGGTGCTGCAGCAGCAGGTCTGCAGCAGCTGCAGCAGCAGCAGCAGCAGCAGGGCTGCGCTGCTGCAGCAGCCTGCATGCTGGCAGTGCTATCTTCATGTTTGTTGCTGCTGCCTTCTGCGTAAAATCAAGGAGGGCCTCCAACAGAAGACGACATCGGTTTTCTAGTGTATCTGCTGCTGCTGCTGCACCTGCTGCTGCTGCTGCTGCTGCTGTTGCTGCTGCTGCTGCGTTGCTGCTGCTGCCTCTGGGATAGACGGGGAACTGCAGCACAGCAGAAGACATAGAGGTAATCATGCTGAGCCACATCGGCACAGAAACAGAATCGTCGCTGCTGCTGCTGCTGCTGCTGCTCTCCTCAAGCGAAAGCCGTCTTAGCAGCGCAGCGCTGTATTCAAGTGGCAGCTGCAGCAGCTCGTTAGCAAAGAGACCGACAGTCTGCTGCTGCTGCTGCTGTGGCTGCTGCTGCTGCTGCTGCTGCGCATGAGCCAGGATCACAGCCTCGTGTGCTGCTGCAGCAAAGCAGCGGAAGAGCTGCTGCTGCTGCTTCGTAGGGGAAATCTGTAATGTTGTCCCTACACAGAGCTGCAGCAATTCATCAGCGCCAGTTGGCGCCTTTGCTGCTGCTGCTGCTGTTGCTGCTGTTGCTGCTGTAGAAGAGCGTCCGCAGCGCTGCAGCTTGCTGTTGACAGCAGCAGCAAAAAGCATTGCACAGACATGTGCTGCTGCAGTTCGTATACGCTGCTGCTGCTTCTGCTGCTGCTGTTGCTGCTGCTGCTGCTGCAGGCCACCGGAGGCAATTGCAGACAGCAGGCAGCAGCAGCAAACAGCAACAGACGACAGCGCAGCATGGCTGCTGCAGCACCACAGCAGCAGCCGCTGCAGCAGCTGTCTCTCTCCTTCTACAACTGCAGCAGCAACAGGGTCTCGCCTCGACGCTTCAGAAAATGTGCTGCTGTTGCTGCTGCTGCTGCTGTCCCGCGCAGCAGCAGCAGCAGCAAACCACATTGCAACAGGCCCCAACTGCAGCTCGGTGAACTTGCCTCTCCAAAAGGCTTGCATATGATGCTGCTGCTGCCGCTGTTGCTGCTGTTGCTGCTGTTGCTGCTGCTGCGGCCCCATGACTGGCGCAGCAGCAGCGGCAGCAGCAGCAGCAGCAGCAAAACAGTTGCCTCGCACGCAGATGGAGAGGGGGAAATCAAGGGCTGCGTCTTCGATGGCCCGCAGGGCGTTTTGCTGCAGCAGCAGCTGCTGCTGCCGGAGCAGCAGCGCTCGTTGCTGCAGCAGTTGCTGCTGCATGTGCATGCTGTGCTGCTGTACCCTTTGCTGCAGCGGAGCTGCTGTTCCTGCTGCTGCGGGCAAGGGGGCGTCGGTGTTGTTTTCTGCTGCTGCAATCATTATATTCAAATAGAACGAGATTGCTGCTGCTCTGCTACTCTCCGCAGCAGCAGCAGCAGCAGCAGGATCACCTGAAGCAGCAGCAGCATCAGCAGCAGCAGCATCAGCAGCAACAAGCAGAGCCTTGCGGAGCCGAAGAAGGCCTCCGGTGGGCGCAGCAGCAGCTGCTGCTGCTATGAATGCAGCTAACGTGCTAGCTGTCCCTTCCACTTCTGCTGCAGCAGCAGCATCTAGCAGCAGGAACAACCGGTGGGGAGACGAAGGGCTTACAACATACACAGCCTGCTGCTGCTGCTGCTGTTGCTGTTGCTGCTGCTGCTGCTGAGTTGCAAGCACAAGGCGCAGCAGCCTCGCAACGATGTCATAAAGATAACCGCCAGGCTGCTGCTGTTGCTGTTGCTGCTGCTGCTGCTGCTGTTGCTGTTGTTGTTGCTGCTGCTGCTCGGCAGCGCAGGAGAAGAGAAAGACGGGGTCAGCGGCTCTCGCACTGAGGAGGCGGTGCAGCAGCTGAGCAGCAAAGCGCGCTTGGGTGCATGCATGTAGCAGCAAGGGCGCCTGCTGCTGCTGCTGCTGCTGCTGCCCGTGTGGAGAGGCGCTGCAGCAGATGCAGCACAAAGTTGCTGCTGCGTCAGCGCACTGCAGCAGCAACAACCGACAGAGGTCCTGCTGCAGGTTGCTGCTGCAGTAGACGGCCCTTGCTGCACCAACACAAGGCCCCGCTGCTTGCTGCTGCTGATGCTGCTGCTGCTGCCCAGGAGCAGCAGCAGCACAGAAACCTACAGATTCCCTTTCCACCGTTGCTGCTGCCTCTGCTATACTCCACAACCCTATGCACTGCCGGGGCCGCAGCAGCAGCAGCGGCAGCTGCTGCTGCTGCTGCTGCTGCTGCCGCTGTAGCGGCATGCTGCTTGGTGTGGTGGTAGCAGCAGCAGCTGCAGCAGCAGCAGGAACAGAAAGAAGGGCGCTTATGCACAGCCTCCCTGCTGCAGCAAGAGCAGCTGTTGCTTCCTGCTGCAGCTGCAGCAGCAGCTGCGTGGTGAATGCACGAGGTGCAGCAGCAGCAGCGGCAGCTGCTGCTGCAAACAGCAGCGGCAACGGGCCCTGATGCTGCAGCGGGTGCTGCAGCAGCTGCAGCAGCAGCTGCTGCTGCTGCTGCTGCCCCTGTAGGGAAGCTGCTGCTGCTGGTATCGTTTGCTGCCACACGCTGCAGGCCTTAGCGAGCTCCCGCGAGCTCGTAGCAGCAGCAGTAGCAGCAGCAACAGCAGCAGGAGTGCTGGGTATTGCTGCAGCAACAAAGGCATCCACTGCAGCTATCAGCCCTTCAGGTGTAGCGGTATCAGCAGCAGCAGCAGCAGCAGCGAGAGGAGGGCCCCCGAGCCAACAGCTCAGTGAGACGCGCAGCAGCAGCACCGCCTGTTCTGCTGCTGCTGCTGCTGCTGCAGCTGCAGCAGAAGCAGTTGCGGCTGCCAGCGGTGTTCCTTGCATGCCTTCTGCTGCTGCTGCTGCAGTAACAGCAGCAGCCGCAATACAGGAGCTGCTGCAGCAAACGTAAGCTGCTGCTGCCCTCAGAAAATGATGCTCCAGCGGCAGCAGCAGATCTGCTGCTTCTACAAACCACAACACAACACCGGGTTTCCTGATGCTGCTGCTGCTGCTGCTGCTGTTGCTGCAGGCAAGGATGCAAGCGCGGCTTTGAGGTTGCAGCAGCAGCTCTGCTGCAGCAGGGCAGCGGAATTCTGCTGCACATGACAGCCCCGCTGCTGCTGCCGCTGCAGCAGGCGCTGCTTCTTGTGGGGTGCCTGCATGCAGCAGCAGCAGCTGCAAGCAAAACCCTACAAGCGCGTAAACGTCAGCAAGCAGCAGCAGCAGCAACGGAAAGGCGAGCAGCTGCAGCAGCAGCTGCAGCAATTCGCAGCTCAAGCGGCGCTGCAGCAAACCCAAGTCCACCACCAGGCGCAAAGAGCTGCTACGGCAGCAGTTGCTGCTGCTCCTGCTGCAGCTGCTGCAGCTGCTGCAGCAGCGATCAGCCAGCAAATTGGCTCGGCAAGTAGGTGCTGCTGTTGCTGCTGCAGCAGCAGCGCGAGCAGCAGCAACTGGCGGCAAAGAAAAGGCAGCAAGCAGATGCTTCCGAAGAGCCGTCCTGAACGAGCAGCAAGCTGCTGCTGCTGCTGCTACTGCATCTGGAGCAGCAGCAGCAGCAGTTGCTGCTGCTGCAGCGCCTGTTGCATCTGCATCTTCAGTGAGGGTTGCGCTGCATCCGACACAGCAGCAAAATGATGCGTTTGCTGCAGCAAGCCTATTGAGGTGTACATACACCTCAGGAGAAACCCTGCTGCTGCTCCGTACCTGCCTCAGCTGCGCTGCTGCTTGCTGCAGTGCTGCTGCTGCAAACCCCCCTCTTGCTGCTAGCAGCAAAATTTTGTTCACCTCATTTGTAGCAGCAGCAGCAGCATCCGCCCCTCCCGCAGCAACAGCAGGTGCAGCAGCAGCAAGTACATCAGCTGCAGCAGCAGGTGCAGCAGCAGGTGCAGCAGCAAGTGCAGCAGCAGCAGCAATTGAGCCGCCTGCTGGAGTTTGCTGCGAATTTTCTTCTGCTGCTGCCATGTGTTATCCTCTCTTGTTATAACTGCGTATTTATTTATTTATTTATTTATTTATTTGCTCTGCTGCATTCGCGCGTTGCTCCAGTTGCTGGTCGCAGCAGATGTAAATGTTGCTGCTGCTGGTGGTGGTGTTACTGTTGCTCCTGCTGCTGTTGCTGCTGCTGTTGTTGTTGCAGCTGTTGCTGCTGCTGCTGTTACTGCTGTTGTTGCTGCTGCTGATGCTGCTGCTGTTGCTACTGCTGCTGTTGCCGTTGTTGCTCCAGGAGAGGGCTCATTCACCGCTGCTGCTGTTGCTGTTGAGTTGGCATGTGGTGTGGCCTCTGCTGCTGCAGCTGCTGCTGCTGCAGCAACTGCTGCTGCAACAACTGCTGCTGCAGCTGCTGCTGCTGCAGCAACTGCTGCTGCAACAACTGCTGCTGCAGCGACTGCTGCTGCTGCAATTGCTGCTGCTGCAGCTGCAGCTGCTGCGGCGGTGTGTAGATATCTGCTAAGAGGCGTTATTTGTTTTGTTGTTTTTGTTTAAAATAAAAAAATAATTTAATATTATTTTAAGAAAGAAGCAATAAAATAAGCAGCAGCAGCAGCAACAACAGCAGCAAGAGCAACCAGGGCTTGTCTTGCAGCAACAGTCGGCCCCACACCCGCAGAAGATCTAGGGTTTAGGCTTTAGGGTTTAGGGATTAGAGTTTAGGGTTTAGAGTTTAGGGTTTGAAGGGCAGCATTTATTCTTATTATATTATTTTTTGCTGCTGTTAGCCTTCACCTCCGCAGTTTATTTGCTGCTGTGTTAATAGGGGTGGGGTTGTTGGGTTGCTGCTGCCTTCTGCTGCTGCTCTTAGGGTTTAGGGTTTAGGCTTGAGGGTTTAGGGTTTAGGGTCTTAAGCGATTTACGAATACCCTCTAAAGACAGCAGCGAGAGCCGCTAGCTAACTAGCTAGCCAGCAGACACCCCTCCACGAGCTAGCTCGTTAGCTAGCTAGCTGCCTAGCTAGATAACCAGCTAGCTGCATAACTAGCATTCCTTTAGCAGGTTAGCTGGCTGGCTGCAGCCATTCTGCTAGCTAGCTAACTACCGGAATGGCTAGCTAGCTAGCTAGCTAGCTAGCTAGCAGAATATCTAGCTAGTTAGCTAGCTACCGGAATGTCTCCAGCTAGCCAGATGGCTAGCTAAAGGAATGCTGCATTCTGATAGCTAGCTAGCTAGCTAGCTAGCCATTCTGCTGGGTAGCTCTTTAGCAGCGTGTCTGCGGTCAGCCAGCTAGTCTGCTTCTAGGGCGTTGTATATTGAGGTGTACAGCTAGCTAGCTAGCTGGCTAGCTAGCCAACACAATGGCTAGCTAGCTAGCTAGCTAGATAGGTATCTAGCTAGCTGAGAACAGCAGCCAGCGAGCGCAACCGTTGGCTAACTGGGGGAGTAGCAGGCAGGCACCTGCTGCTGCTGCTGCTTCTGCTGGTGCTGCTGCTGCTGCTGTTGCTTCTTTGTCTGGGTAGATAAAATGTCGTTATATATTTTTCTTCGTTGTTATTTTAATGAAGACAAACAAACAATTTGTAAAAAGGAGTTGAGCTGCTGTCTGCTGCATGCACGGATGTTTGCTGCTGTTCTTAAGCAGCAACAGAAAAAGCTTTATAAAACAAACAAATAAAATAAAAAGCAGTTGTTGCTGCTGCAGTTGTTGCTGCTGCAGTTGCCTGTGTTGCAGTTGTTGCTGCTGCAGTTGCCTGTGCTGCAATTGCTTCTGCTGCAGTTGTTGCTGCTGCAGTTGCTTCTGCTGCAGTTGCTTCTGCTGCAGTTGCTTCTGCGGCAATTGTTACTGCTGCAGTTGCTGCAGCTGCAGCTTTTGCTGCTGCAGTTGCTGTTGCTGCAGTTGCTGTTGCTGCAGTTGCTGTTGCTGCAGTTGCTGTTGCTGCAGTTGTTGCTGCTGCAGCAGCTGCTGCAGACAAAATTAATAATCGCAGCATCCCCTTCTCTTTTGCTGCTGCATGCAGCACAAACAAACCCCTCATTCTTTACTCCTTATTTTTATCTTCGAAGTTTATACTATTGTTATATTATATAATAATATATAATAAAATAATATTATATTATATTATATTATATTATTATATTATGTGTAAATATTTATATCATATTATAATATTATATTATTATATTATTATGTTTATATTACCACCTGTTTCTACTTGTGTAAATAATAAAAAGACTAATAAATTAATTATTTTTGTTTATTTATATTATTTATTTATTATTTTTTTAAAAGAAGGTCCCACCGGGATTCGAACCCGGGTTAGTGGATTCAAAGTCCACGGTGCTAACCACTACACTATGGAACCGACGGCCAAAAGGGTGGCATTGGGGTTTAGGGTTTAGGGTTTAGGGTTTAGGGTTTGGGGTTTAGGGTTTGGGGTTTAGTATTAAGACAGACTTTTAGCAACACATCTGGGAATGTTCTGCTTAAGACAAACCCACAGGAGCCAGCAACAGCAGCAACAGCAGCAACAGCAACAGCAGCAACAGCAGCAGCAACAGCAGCAGCAACAGCAGAAGGAAGAGCTGCAGCAGAATCTCTATAAAGGATCTTAGTTTTGCTGCAGCAATACATTTTATTGAATTAACCCTTTCTTTTTATGCTTTGTTTCATTTAAGATAGTGCTGCTCTCCCTACAAACAGCAAAAGCTTTCGAAGCCCTCAAGGCCTCACAGCAGCAGCAGCACCAGCTGCTGCAGCAGCAGCAGCAACACAGCCATGAAGGAAGTGCTGCGGCCTCAGACGACCTTCCCTACCAGTGAATTCGTACGCTACCAACTCCTTCGGCTGTAGCCCGTTTGCCTGCAGCAGCAGCAGCAGCAGCAGCAGCTGGAGCAGCAGCAGCAGCAGCAGCAGCAGGATGGCATCAAATGAACTAGCTGAGGATCCTCTGAGTGTCTCAGCCCCTGGGGCCCCACACGATATCCCCCGAGAGGCCCCACACCCATCTTCTGCTCTCTGTGAAGCAGGCGCCTCTGCACAGCAGCAGCAGCAGCAGCAGCAGCAACAACAGTCGCAGCAGCAGGACGGTGGAGCAGCAGCAGCTTTATCTGCATTTGAAAGGTCGCATGCGAAATCTTCCTCCTCCATAACGTCAGGCGCAGCAGCAGCAGCAGTACCGGCAGCAGCAGCAGCAGCAGTACCAGCAGCAGCATCAGCAGTTCCAGCGGTAACCCCAGCAGCAGCAGCAGCAGCAGCAGCACTAGCACCAGCAGCAGCAGCAGCAGCAGCACGACCACCTCCCGCAGCAGCAGCACTACCAGTACCACCACTCCCCTCCTCCTCCTCCTCCGCCGCCTCCGCCTCCGCCTCCGCAGCAGCAGCAGCAGCAGCAGGAGCAGCAGCAGGAGCAGCAGCAGGAGGTGCTTATGCAGGTTTTTATGAGAATGATATGCTGAACCGCCTGCGTTTAGAAGCAGAGTGCGAGTTTGTGCAGGCGCTGGCTAACCCCGACTATTTATTATTTTTGTCTAGGCAGGGCTTCTTTCTTGATGATAGATTTGCTGCTTATCTTCAGTATCTGCTGTACTGGCAGCAGCAGCCGTATATACAACTTATCAAGTTCCCTGTTGCACTCAAAGTGCTGCAGCTGCTGCAGCACAAAGCTAATAGAAAAGCTCTTGCTGCTGAAGGCGCCCTACAGCTCCTGCAGCAAACCCTACATCTGCACTGGCTTACACACGATATAGACGTCTATAGAGACGAAGAATAAACTGCAGCAGCAGCAGCAGCAGAAGCAGAAGCAGAAGCAGCAGACGCCTTTCTGCTGTTGCTGCCGCTGCTGCTACACACTCAAATCCGGCTGACTCTGCACTTCCACCATCAGAGGAAGCAGCAGCAGCAGCAGCAACAGCAGGAATAGGAGCAGCAGCAGCAACAGCAGCAGCAGCTGCTGCAGTAGCAGTAGCAGCAGCAACAGCAGCTGCTGCAGTAGCAGTAGCAGCAGCAGCAGCAAGTGCTGATGCTGCTGCCTGGGCGACTTCACCGGTGGGCGTGCAGGCTGCAAGCGCAGCTTCAGTATTGTGCACTCAGCAAATTTGCTGCTGCTTCGCATCCTGCTGCAGCACAGCACCCTGCTGCTGCTGCTGCTGCTGTTGCTGTTGCTGCATCAGCGGCGCCTTTTCGCTCCGCTGCCGCTGCTGTGCTGCAGCAGAACTCGCGGGGCTTTGCAGCAGCAACAGCAACAGCAGCAGCAATACCGCAGCAGCAGCAGCAGCAGGAACAGCAGGATGGAGAATGCCCGGCGCAGCAGCAGGCCTTGCAGCAGCAGCTGCTGCAGCAGCTCGACGCGTTGCTGCTGGCTGCTGTGCACCAACACCAACTGCAGCAGCAGCAACAGCAGCAGCAGCAGCAACAGCAGCAACAGCAGCAGCAACAGCAGCAGCAACAGCAGCAGCTGCTGCAGCAGACGGGTAGGCTTGTGGCGCCTATAGCGCTGTCTCTGTCTCAGACGGGTTTGCTGCTGAAGGCGCTCCTGTCTCTGCCTCTTCTTGCTGCTACTGCTTCCTTCAGGGAATTGCTGCTGCAGCATCCGCTGCTGGAGTTGGCTGTGAGGCTGATCTCCAAACACTGCTCGTCTCTCACAGCAGCAGCAACAAAAGACGCCTTGCTGCTGCTCCTCGTGCTGCCTCCCATGCAGTACCAGCAGCAGCAGCAGCAGCAGCAGCAGCAGCGGCAGCCGTGGGTTCGGCAGCAGCGGCTGCTCATAGCTCGTTTGGTGCGGCGGCTGCTGCTGGTAGGGGGAGAGCTGCAGCAGCAGCAGCAGCAACATCTGCTGCTGCTGCCGTTCCTGCTGCTGGCGAAGGACCCCTACTTTGCGCAGCAGGAAGGCTTGTGGCAGCAGCTGCTGCAGCAGCAGCTAGCTGCAGCAGGCAATGGCCCTTTGCTGCTGCAGCCGCAGCAGCAGCAAGAAGCAGCAGTGGAGATGACGCTGCAATGCCTGGCGACTGCAGCACAAACTGCTGCCAAAGCCAGCAGCAGCAGCAGCAGCAGCAGCAGCAGGCACGATCTTTCTTTTGTATATCATGCGGTGTATTGCCACCTGGGGGAGGATTGGCTTCTAGCAGCAAGCCCAGCTGCTGTTGCTGCTGCGCTGCTGCAGCTGTGCCGCATGCAGGTATTGTCTCCTTCTTTATTTGGTGCTGCTGTTGAGAGCCTTCTCTCCAGTGCGCTGCTGCAGCGGGAGCAGCAACTGCTGCAACTGCTGCGGCTGCTGGCGATATGTAAAAACTACTTCAGCAGCAGAACTAGCCCTGCAGCAGCAGCAGCAGCAGCTGCTGCTGCTGCTGCTGCAGCAAGAGGAGGCCTTGAACCCAACTACGCCCGCAGTGTCTCGCTGCCTCCCCCTAAGGATTTGCTGCTGCTGCAGCAGCAGCAACTGCTGCAGCAGCAACAGCTGCTGATGCAGCAGCATCCGCTGTACACGGAGCGCTGCCGGCTGTTGCTGCGGCTGCTGCGGCTGAGGGTGTCTATGAGAGCGGAGGCAGCAGCAGCAGCAGCAGCAACAACAATTGAAGAGGGGTTTGCTCTTACTGAGTTGCTGCCAGCATCTAATGCGTACAAAGCTGCGCTGCTGCGGCGCTGCTGCAACGGGTTGCTGCAGGAACTTCAGCAGCCGCAGCAGTTTGCTGCTGCGCTGCTGCTGCTGAGTCGCTTGGGGGTAGGGCATGGGTCTTCTGTTCGGTTTGCTGCTGCTGCTGCTGCTGCTCGCCTGTTGCCGGGCCTGCAGCCGCAGCAGTTTGCTGCACTGCTGTTGCAGCTGCCCTTTCCAAATACATTTGCTGCTCTTATTGCTGCAAACAAGGCAGCAAAGTCTGCTGCTACTGCTGCTGCAGTGCAGCTCGCATCCGCGGTCGTGCAGCAGCAACTGCTCCTGCAGCAGCAGCAGCAGCAGCAGCAGCAGCAAGAACTGCTTCTGGGCGATTCCACCACCAATTTACCTGCCTTGTCGAGCCCAGCAGCAGCAGCAACAGCAGCAACAACAACACGCAGCTGCAGCGGGCCTGCAGGAATAAGAACAGCAGAAGCAGCAGCAGCAACAGCAGCAGGAGCAGCAGCACCAGCAGCAGGCAGTGAAGCGCTTGCTGCTACTGATGTAATTGTCTCTCTGCTGCATAAGATGCGTGTGATTGGCTTCTGTCGCTTTGCAGCTGAAGCTGTTGCTGCTTGCTGCGCTGCAGTTGCTGCTGCTGCACCCTCTTCCTTTCCAGCCCCAGCAGCAGCAGCAGGAACAGGAGCAGCAGCAAGAAGAGGAGGGCTTGCTGCTCTCTCCCTGCCGCAGCTAACTGCAGCAGCAGAATGTTTTGCTGCTACTAACAGCACTGTTCCTTACCCGCTTCTTGCTGCTGTGCTGCAGCGGCTGCGGGCCTCAGGGGGTGCAGCAGCAGCAGCAACAGTTGCTGCTCTCGCCAGGATTGTTGCAGCAGAGCTTTCTCATTACACCAGAGGCCTACCCCCTGCTGCTACTCCTGCAGCTGCTGCTGCTGCAGCTGCAGCAGCAGCAGCTGCTGCTGCTTCCAAGTCGGCCCTGCTTGAGGCAGCAAACTGCCCTGCAGCAGCAGCAGAAGAAGCAGCAAATGCAGCAGCAGCAGCAACACCAACGACAGCAGCAACAGAGGTAGGCATGCCAGCAGCAACGCGCAGCTCCTGTCAGCAGCAGCCTGTTACAGTGGTAGCAGCAGCAGCAGCAGAAGCAGCAGCAGCAGCTGCTGCTGGTGGAGCCAATGCGGATGCAGCCGCAGCAGCGGCAGCTGCTGCTGCTTCCGGTGCAGCAACGGCGCAGCAATTGCTGCGGCTGCTGCTGCAGCTAGCTGAGAAGGCGGAGCTAACAGCAGCAGAAGCCGTTGATGTTGTTTGGGCTGCTGCTGCAGCAGGAGAAGTAGCAGCAGCAGCAGCTCTCCTTCCTAGAACTACGCAGCTATGGTGAGCTACACAACAGCAGCAACAGCAGCAGCAGCATCAGAGAATGCCTGTCTCGCTGCACCTACAACAGCCACAGTTGCTGCAGCTAGTTGCGATCGTAGCAATGGTACTGGATGCAGCAGCAGAGCAACAGCAGCAGCAGCAGCGCGAAGAGCTGCAGCCAATGATTTCTTCTTGCTGCCGTGCCAGCTGAAGGATCCCGAACTGCAGCAGGGCAGCAGCACATCCACCTTCTTCTTCTTCAGCAACAACAACAGCAGCAGCAGCAGCAGCAGCAGCAGCAGCAAGTGCGTGTTGTGTGTGTGCAGCATAGCGGACTGGGATTCTCTTAAGGGAGACACTGCTGCTGCTACGCGTTTCTATGAGGCTCTGTGTCTTGCTGCAGCACACAGACAGACAGCAGCAGCAGCAGCAGAAGCCTTCAAATGCCTTGCTGCTGCGAGCAGCATCCCAGAACTGCAGCAACAGCAGCAGCAGCTTACGCCGCTGCAGCAGTTTGAGCGGCAGCTGGTCCTTCAAGAAGAGGCTGAGCAGCAACAGCACGAGCAGCAGCAGCAACAGCAGCACCAGGAGCAGCAAAAACAGCAGCAGCAGCAGCAGCAGCTTGATGAGGAGCTCTCACCTGTAGAAGCAGCAATCGATTACCTTGGAATAGGCCTCAATAGTGCTTTAGGGCAGCAGCTTGCTGCTGCTGCTGCTGCTGCTGCTGCTGCTGATGCTGCTGCACCTGCTGTTCATGCTGCAGCTTCTTCGGCTGCTGCTGCTACTGCTGACACGGCATGGGACCTACGCAAAACACCACCCGCAGAAAAAGCAGCAGCAGCAACAGCAGCAGCAGCAGCAGCAGCAGATGTTGCTGCATGCAGGCATAGCCCAAACGACAAGATACAAATACCTCTTCCTCGGCCCCCGCCCTTAGCAGCAGCAGCAGCAGCTGCTGCTGCTGCTGCAGCGGAGGCAGCAACAACAAAAACAACAACAGCAGCTGCACCAGCAACAGCTGCAGCAGAAGCAGCAGCAACAGCAACAGCAGCAGAAGCAGCAGCAGATCCTTTAGAGTTTATGCTGTTTCGTCAGCCTCTGCGTGGAGGTGCGGAGACACTGCAACGAGCAGCAGACTCAGCAATCCTCTCCGAGCTGCAAATGAGTAAGCAGCAGCAGCAGCAACAGCAGCAGCAGCAGCAGCAGCAGCAGCAGCAGCAATAGCAGCAGCAGCTGCTGCTGCACCTGGTAGTGTTTAAGATAGAGCTGTTTGTTTTTTTGTTTGTTTGTCTGCTGCTGGCGTCTTTGTTTGTACATCCCTCAATTTGCTTCTTATTTATTTATTTATTTGTTTGTTTGATTGTTTTATATATTTGTTTATTTATATACTTTATATATTTATATATCTACTTCTTTATTTGTTTGTTTATTTACAGGTTTATTTATTTAATTAGCTACTCTATTTATACATACATTTATATATTTATTTATCTGTATATTTATGCATGTACATATTTATATATTTATATATTATATATATTTATTTATAAATTATTTATTTATTTATTTATTTATTTATTTTGCTGTCTTTTATTTTTTTGTATTTTGGTGTAGCTTTGCTTCTTCACTTCAGCACCCGTGCTGCTGCTGTTTGCTGCTGCTGCTGCTGTTTGCTGCTGCTGTTTGCTGCTGCTGCTGCTGCTGTTTGCTGCTGCTGTTTGCTGCTGCTGCTGCTGCTGTTTGCTGCTGCTTTTGTTTGCTGCTTCCGCTGCAGTCTTTTCTAGCTCCCGGAGGACTCCGCGCAGACATGTGCGTCGCAAGCAAATTAGGGTTTAGGGTTTAGGGTTTAGGGTTTGCTGCTAAGGGTTAGGGTTTAGGGTTTAGGGTTTATGATTAAGGGGTCTAGGGTTTAGGGCATCTTGCTAAGTCCTGGGGATCAGAGTGAAGTGTTCAGGGCTGGGGCTTGAAGGTTAGGGTTTAGGGTTTAGGGTTTAGGGTTTAGGGTTTAGGGTTTGTTTGTGTTGGACAGCTGGAGGTTTGTATTTCCTTTGGGAGGCTGCTGCATCTTCTTCCTGTCTCCTCCTTCTTCCGCGCTGCAGCAGCAGCAGAAGCAGCAGCAGGCCCAGCAGCAGCAGCAGCAGCAGCAGCAGGGCGGCCTCGTCCTTGGGTAGTGCCGAGCACACCCGCTGCACCTTATAGCAGCAACAGCAGCAGCAGCAGCAGCAACAGCAGCAGCAGCAGGATGCTGGATTGCTTGGAGACAGGGGGATTCGCTTTGCTGCCAGCAGCAGGAGGTGAAGCTACACCCGACTGGGGCAGCGAGCAGTGGGGTGTTGGTTTGCTGCTGCTGCGAGAAGACAAAGACATCTGCTTCTCACCTTTGCTGCTGCTGCAGCGCCGCATTCATGAGCTTGCTGCTGTAGAAGCTGCTGCTGCTGCTGCCGGTTCTGCTGCTCTCCCGCGCAGAGTCTCCCGCCAGCAGCAGCAGCAGCTGCAGCTACTGCAGCAACTGCGCCTGCTGCAGCACAGGCTGCAGCAGCAGCAGCAGCAGCAGCAGCAGCAGCAGCACTTCAGGCTCAAGCCTCAGGCGGCGCTGCGGCAGCGAATGCTCTCGGATTTGTTGGGGTGGAAAATCATTTGTTTAAATGCAGACAAAGTAAACCCTAAACCCTAAACCCTAAACCCTGCTAAACCCTAAACCCTTCTAAACCCTAAACCCCTTCAAACCCTAAAACCCTAAACCCTTCTGTGCTCAACGGTGTACTTCTGCAACAGCGTCCTGCGGGGAATTTATTGAGGGTTTGGGGTTGTTGCATTTGCATTGGTTGTTTAGGGTTTAGGGTTTAGGGTTTAGGGTTTGTGTTGGTGTTTAGGCTGCCGCTCTCCTGCAGCCTGAGGCGGAGCCGCTGCTGCTGCAGCGTCTTGCTGCTGTAGCAAGAGAAGCCCCGATGCCCCCTATTCTAGCAGCAGCAGCAGCAGCAGGAACAGCAGCAGGAACAACAACAACAGCAGCAGCAGCAGCAGCAGCAGCAGCTACATGGGCAGCTGCAGCAAACCCTGAAGCTGTTCGGGAGGCAGCAGCAGCGCAGCTGCAGCGCGAGCTGTATTTTGTGTTGTCTTAGAAAAACAAAAAATATGTCAAATATAAATAAATAATATAAATAAATAATATAAATAAATATTATATATAATTAACGTAAATAAATGTTATTAGTAAATAAGTCTTATAAACAACCCTAAACCCTAAACATATAATAAATAAACAAATATAATAAATAAATAAACAAATATAATAAATAAACAAATATAATAAATAAACAAATATGATAAGCAAGGAAATATTAACGCAACAGACAAATACAATAAACAATCAAATATAAAAAACAAAGAAAAACAAACAGACAGACAAACAAACAAATACACTGAGAGGAGAACAAACAGAGAAGGAGACAAACAAAAAAAGAAAGAAGCCAAAGGGACGACAACAGACGAACAGAAGGGGGAGTCAAAACTAAACCCTAAACCCTAAACCCTATACCCTAAAACCCTAAACCCTAAAGACAGGGGGCCTCGTAGAGGAGTATGAAGTTCTGGGGGTTTGATTGAGCAGCAATAAAAACAAGAAAGAGAAATACAGCTAAAATTTGGTGATGTGTGTTTTTTAATTTGCCGAGTCCTTGCATGTCTTATAGTAGTGGTCTCAAACCCTAAACCCTAAACCCTAATGTAGGGTTTAGGGTTTAGGGGTTGAGGAGGGGGTTTGTACACCATTATATCTTTCCCTAATAAAGATTTAAATGTTCTTTTCTTGTTTAATTAAATATTAAACATATAGAGAGCTGCTTTTACACCTCCGAGCTGCAGATACACCTCAACATCGCTCGCTGGGAGGAGCCCCGGCAGTTTCTGCCTATTTTTTCCTGTTTTTTTTCATTAAAGTAATTAATTAATTTTAATTTAATTTAGTTTTTGTATTTATACAGAGAAATGTATATTATTTAATACGAATGCCCAGCTAGAGGCAGCTCAAAGCCCTGAGTTGCGGGTGCCGAGGTCTTCACAGGGGGGGCTTGGAAACCGAGTTGAAGAGAGTGTATAAACAGTTAAATATATTACTGTTTAAACTATTTAAAAGATAAAAAACGTTTATTTTATTATTATTATTAAAGCTGCAGACAGAAAGAATAAGAATTAGCTGCAGTCTCAGGGCCTACCTGCTGCAGCAGAGCTGCTCGCTTCTTCGAGAGTAGATGCGGATATTTGTTTGTTTTTTCTTGCGTGGGGTGTATATAAAACGGTATAATAAATAAAAATAATAAT